AGTAGCAGTAGCATAAAGTACAGCAGTAGCAGCAAACCAGTAGCATCAGTAGCATAAAGTACAGCAGTAACATGAAAACAACAGTAGCAGTAGCATCAAAACAGTAGTAGCAGGAAAATCAAGACAGTAATAGCAGTAGCATCAAGACAGTAGTAGCAGTAGCATCAAAACAGTAGTACCAGGAGCATCAAGAAACCATTAGCATCAGCAGCATAAAGTACAGCAGTAGCATCAAGACAGTAGTACCAGGAGCATCAAAACACCAGTAGCATCAGTAGCATAAAGTACAGCAGTAACATCAGAGCAGTAGTAGCAGTACCACAGAGTACATGAGTAGCATGAAACCAATAGGTGGCTGAAAGTAGCAGGCGGAATAATGGCTTGCCGTCAGAGAGGGTATCTGCGTCATCGGCAGCGAACGCGCCTGCTGAGTAAACGACAGGCCCAGCAAAGTGCTGTACGATGAATTGTCTTTCTCCTGCGCATGCAGATCGATCCATGCCACAGCAGCACTGTTGCTGCAACAGCAGCGCGTCCGACAGCAACAGAAATTTCTGGTGTAAAAAATGATACGGCGAAAGCAGCGCTCACAGGAGCTGCGCACAGCTGCTGCAGTTTCGGAGGCATGAGACTCTGCACGTTGCTATACCGCGAAAGACGAGCAGGCAGCTGCTGATACAAAGTCGCAGATAAGCAGAGGCAGCAGAAGGGGAAAAGCGTCTCGGAAGGCAGACTAAAACAATGGGAGCGGAAGGGAAGTCGGAGTGGCTTCATACCAGCACCTGGCCTTAACACCTTTCGACTATCACGACTGCTCAACGCGGTTTGCTGCAGCAACTGAGAGGAAAGCAGAGCATGGAGAGACAACCTCATAAATAGACGAATGGACACGCAGGAAGACTGACAGATAGGCAAAGACACACAGAACGACAGACAAGCAGACAGGCAAATAGACAGACACACAGCCAGCCGTCCACATTGCAGCTGCGGCTACCCCAACACCAGCTGCAGCAGCTTCCCCCCGTCCTTCCTGTCACCCTCCTTCCTTGACGCGACTGCTGCATCAGCAGCAGGAGAGTTAGTGCAGCAATCGGCGATTTCGGAAAAAGACTCGCGCGTTGCACGTGAGGCAGCAAGCAGGATGATGCCTTGATAGATGCAAAATCACCAAAGCATGCAAGTGAGCAAATGCGCATCCTGCATACCCGTTGGCAGAACGCCGCTTCTCTAGCGCCAAGTGTTGGCATCCAGCAAAAGGACTCCAAATTGCCAAAGATGCCTTCACAGCCCACAAGAAAAAGCGGTTGAAAGATTCGCTCAGGCATGCGAAGAAGGTAGCAGCGGCAGAAAAGGAGGTACAGCTAAAGACGAAGCAGCGAACGCGAGAAGCAGCAGGCAGAGGAGAGCCAAAACAGCAGCAACAACAAACAAATTTGACCACTCAAGGGCAGCAGACTGCGCAAGGCGAGGAAGGCGCGAATCACAAGGGGCATTTAACAGAGGGGGATCCCTACCATGCCGCCGCTCAGAGCAAAATACAGTACAACACAACAAGGCTCAGTACAATATTGCGACAGCAACAAAGAAAACACCCGCAAGCAGGCAGGCAGGCAAGCAGGCACACAACACATACACAACACATATTTACACACACACACACATATACACATACACAACACATACACAACACATACACAACATATACATGTACATACAACACATATACACATACACAACACATACATACACATACACAACACATACACACACATATACACATACACAACACATACACACACATATACACATACACAACACATACACAACATTTACACAACCCATATACAACCCATACACAACCCATACACACACATACACAACACATACACAACACATGCACAACCCATATGCAACCCATATACAACACATACACAACATTTACACAACCCATACACAACCCATACACACACATACACAACACATACACAACACATGCACAACATTTACACAACCCATATACAACACATACACAACACATACACACACATACACAACACATGCACAACCCATATGCAACCCATATACAACACATACACAACATTTACACAACCCATATACAACACATACACAACACATACACACACATACACAACACATACACAACACTTACACGACCCATATACAACACATACACAACACATACACACACATACACAACACATACACAACATTTACAAAACCCATATACAACACATACACAACACATACACACACATACACAACACATGCACAACATTTACACAACCCATATACAACACATACACAACACATACACACACATACACAACACATGCACAACATTTACACAACCCATATACAACCCATACACAACACATACACACGCTGCTGTTAGTGCTCGTTTGGTGCTGTTGTTGCGTTGGAATTTACTCTTGGTGCTTTTGAAAGTTTCGCTGTCGTCAGTCTTGGGAAGCTCTTCACGACCGGCAATCACAGCACAGACGGCAGCACTGCGATGCAGCAGCTCGGCTGCTGCTTCGCAGCTGTCGAGAAGTTGTTGCTGCTGAGGCTCAGCGGTGGCTTCTCGGAGACGTGGGGAGGAGGACGTCACGCCATCTGCCAGCAGCAGCTGCTTTTCTGTCTCGACGCAGCTCTCGAGGAGAAAGCAGTGCAGCCTCTCGCTGGCGTAGTTGATACAGAGCTGCTCGAGAGTATTCGGCCTGGAGAGCTGATGCTGCGGCAAAGGGAAGAAAGGAAAACGTCTCAAGAAGACTTACCCCCCACAGTCCACTAAGCATGGCAAAAAGCGGTGAAAGGAGAGGCAGGCGCATGAGCGCTATCGGCATCTAGCGACGACAAGTGCCAGCAAGCGAGACATGAGAATCTGCCTCCGAAGAAGAAGCTCCAGGGGGGTGCAAGTATGGCTTTGCGAAGGGCGAAAATCCTCAGAGAGCAGCAAACCTGCAAGCTTCTTGCAGGGAGATATGAACCACCGACTGGACTCTACTACAGAGAGAGAGGGGGAGTGAGGGAGATAGAGAGACAGAGAGAGAGTGAGAGAGAGAGATAGAAATAGATAGAGAGATAGTGAGAGAGATATATATATGTAGAGTGGAAGAGAAATCGAGAGGGATAGCAAGAGAAAGATATAAACATATATGTAAATATATATCTGTATGTATGTGTAGAGACAGACAGACAGACAGACGCCAACACGCATAATTATTCTACAGAGCAAGAGGCACACGAGGACTGAAGAAAGGACCAGAGAGGAAGGAAGGGAGACGAAGCCGAAGAGCAGCATGTCATTCGGCATCTTACGAGATCTTCATATCCAAAGATGTCTAGAATTCCAAGAGTGTTTTCTTCAGTGTCTGCTGTGTCGCATAGGCAGAAGCGTTTTCTCAGCACGGCAAGTCGGCTGCCGACGCAGTATGCACCTACGGCGGTGTTGGGGGCAGAAGAGGGAAGAATATTCTATTCCGTTCGTAGAGAGGACTGACTCTATCTACGTATGCATAGAGTTCGAAGCACCAAAGCGGCCTTGGCAACAAGGCTTTAGCCAGATCAGCACAGAAGAGGCGCTCACGCGTCGAAAGGGATGAAAGGTGGTACAGACGCGCGAAGATGCAGAGTAAACCGAAAGAGGCAGAAAGCACTTCTTTCTAGGCGTGTGTTATTTAAGCTTTACGAGGACGATTTCTCGAAGCCAGTACGAAGAAGACCTTACAGGAAGGCGCAGAAGGCGGAGATGTAGCTGTCTCAGTGCCTGGTGATGCGTCGTCTGTGGCATTAGAAGCCGCTGTACCCCCTGCAGGTGATGGGTTGAGGGAGTCGTTGATTTTGGCAGTGACAAAGTCAAAGAGACGGCTGTAAAGAGTCTGCATTACGAGCATCATAGCGCACGGCATGAGTGTTGCACAAAAAGCGGTGGAGAATGCCGCTTGTTGGGGGAAACTGCTTCCTTTTCCTTCAAGGCTTTGCCTGTCTCTCCCCCATCACGATTTCTGCCTATCCTCTCTCCCCCATCACGCTTTCTGCCTATCCTCTCTCCCCCATCACGATTTCTGCCTATCCTCTCCCCCATCACGAGTTCTTCCTATCCTCTCTCCCCCATCACGATTTCTTCCTATCCTCTCTCCCCCATCACGATTTCTGCCCATCTCTTGCGTGGTTGCGTTTTTCCCGTGTGTCTGCACCTGCTGCCTCCCTCAAGTCTGCTCTCCCCTCAAACCTCCCGTCTTCTCCCCCCTATCTGTCTCGTTCCCACCTTTGCGAGAGAATCGCGAATTGCAGCTGCCTCAGAGGGAGTCAGATCTTTCCGGATGTCTCGAATTCCACGCGTGGTGAGCCGTTGCAGCAGCACTTCGGGGTCAGGCAGGTGCAGCAGACGGGCAGCAGAGGATAAGGCGGAGAGGCTGCTGGGGGAGACAGAGGTAGCAGCCTTCCCGGCAGAGTCTCCAGCCGCAGTCGCTGCTGAACGGCTTTCGAACGCGATGTTGCCCAAGTGCAGCAAAGCCGCAAGCAGACGCAGCAACAGCGTCTGCTCCTCTGTCGTAAGGCCTAGCCTCGCCAGGCAATCGCTGCAGCGGCATGTGCAAAAGAAGCGCGCATAAACACGCAACCATTCAAAAAGCAGCGGAGCAACACCTCTTACGGACAAAGAGTTCCCGATGCCGCTTGCGTGAACTCAGGCGGTAGTTACACTGCGCACGCAGCTGTAGACAGATCCATCACCACGCGAAAAAACTCTTCATCGAGCACCAGCAACGAAGCACAAATCCCCGCAGACAGAGAGACAGAGAGAAATAAAGCCTCACAGCAATTTCCTCAGTTCGACAGAAGCCGAAACTTCCAGAGATTCCCCTGTGGGCAGAAAGCGAAAGTCAGCTGCCAGATCTAGATCCAGCAACACGTTCGACAGCCAGGATGAATAAGGCTGCTCTGGCTCCTGCATCTGCTCTTGCTTCTGCTTCTGCTCTTGCTCTTGCTCCTGCATCTGCTCTTGCTCCTGCATCTGCTCTTGCTCTTGCTGCTGCTTTGCCTTGTGCGCTTTCTCGGCGTTGCGTGCCGCCTGGCAAAGGCTGTAGAAGACGTGAAAATTCCTTTCTTTGGGTGGCACGCGGACTACCTGAAAGAAGGCATGCAGAAAAAGACTCGCAGAGATTCCTCGGCTGCTGCCTCAAGAAAAGAGCTGCCGCAGCATGAGCAGCGAGAGGCGCACTGGCGAGACGAGGGGGAAAGAAGGAGGGAAAAAGCAGGAAAACGGCTGTTTACGCGTTGCTTCGCCAAGAGGTATGTCTTGAGGGAGGCTCCAGTGAGACGGCTACCCATGAAGTGCAGCTTCTGAAGCCTCCCCACTCTGCTGCTATTCCAGTTCAAGGCCGTTTGAGCTGAAGCACGCGCAGAGACATCAGAATCCAGCAAACAAGGCCCTCCTTTTACCTGGAAAGCCTCAATTTTTCCCGCGCTGTACGGCAACGGCTGCGCCAGAGCAAGAGGTCTCAAGGAAAATTTCCCGGAAGAACGTGTTCAAGGCAAGAAAGCCGAAGAGAGGGGGAAGAGAGAGAGGGAAGGGAGAGAGAGAGTGACTCTAAGTCATTGTTGTCTCCTTTTTTCGGCTTTTTATTCTCGAGACGACTCTTCTGCGGACTGACCATTTCCAAAGGCTTCGAGTATCGGCAATGCGAGCAACAGACGCGTCTTCAAACCGCTGCGAAAGAGCATGCAAGCCAAACCCCACACTGAGAAAAACTACCATTAGGATCAAAGACGGCAGCCGCAGCCAGCTTGATAGCCATGCGCGAAGGAACTCACGCAGATCTTAGGGAGGAAGCCTTACCCTTCTAGCTGAACATCCCGCCTTCCCTCCTCTGCCGTGAAAACAAGGTGTGAAAGAACATGCTAAAAGGTACAACAGACAGACAGCAGGCAGGCAGTCAATCAATGGATGGACGGCAGACAGGCAGTCAATCAGTGGATGGATGGCAGACAATCAATGGATGGATGGCAGGCAGGCAATCAACGCATGGATGGATAGCAGGCAGTCAGTCAATGGATGGATGGCAGTCAATCAATGAATGGATGGATAGCAGGCAGTCAATGGATGGATAGCAGGCAGTCAGTCAATGGATGGATGGCAGGCAGTCAATCAACGCGTGTAAATGCATCTTGTGCTGCACCCCAGAGAAGCGCGTATGTGGCGATTTTCAGCCCACAGAAGTGCTATAAAAAACAGAAGCAGCAGCAAGCGAAAAAAAGAGACGCCATTGACGTCGAGCTAATGGAGTGCCCGCTAAAGGAACGTCTGCTCCATCCAATTTTTTTGTGCCAACTTGGCAGCAACAACAAAACAACACCAAGAAGCGACCCCACCGGGAGGCGCCTACATCTCGCGCCTGCTGACCTTAGAAGCTTCGGTTTTCCCAGCGCCGCTATCGCCACTTATAACGATTGATTGACTGCGACTCTCTGCAGAGAAAAACGCAGCGGCAGATGTTTTCCACACGGCATGGGTTGTTCAGGAGAGTGGCGAATACAGCTGCCGAAACGGATTTGAAACTCGTGCTTGGAATACAGCGCGAAACAGCTCCGAGGAAGGCGAAGCGGGGGAAAAAGACACATCGAGAAAGGGGAAAAGGCAGGCACCTGAAGACGGTGGACCGTCGATGAACGCATATAGAGAAGGAACGAAATCGAGAGACAGAGACAGAGAGAGAAAGACAGAGAGAGGGAGAGACACAGAGCGAGAGATACACCGAGAGAGAGAGAGACACAGAGCGTGAGATACAGCGAGAGAAAGACAGAGATCGCGAGCTACACAGAGAGAGAGAGAAAGAAAAACAGCGTGAGAGCAAAAGAACACGATCTATTTGACATAAAGGCCGCCTCAAAAGTGGAGAGGAGGGAGCAAGAGGAGCTTGCTGAGAGCCTAGAAGGGTGAGACATACGCCGTAGCATCCTTCTGTATGCGCAATCAGCAATCGAAAAGGGGTGTGGCACAAAGACCCCGTCATCGGGAGCGACTGCGACTTGCAGTCTGCTGCTGGCAGTGAAAGTGCTGCTGCTGCTGCTGCTTGTTGTGTGGGCAGAGCCCTTGTGAACAAAGCCTTTGCTGCATCGGAGATGCCACTCGGGTCCGTAGATGTCTTTCGGTTCGTTCGGATTTACCGCAATCAGCAACGAGCCAGTGAGTGTCTGCGAGCCAAAAAAGGAGAGGAGAGGGGGGGAGAGGGGTGGGTTGCGCATGCAGTCCTTGTCTTTCCGCAGGCGGGTTGGCAAGCGAACTGACTGGAGACTGCAGCAGGGAGGCAGAGAGGTGGCGAAATGTGCAGGAGACAGCTGCGAGGTCAGAGGGCAGATCAGTGCCACATTGCAGTCACGGAAGCTAGAGGCTTATTTCCAGAGAGACTCCACGCCGCTCTGTGCGCCCTTTGGGATGCTGCCTGTGTCAGCAGCAGCATCAGGCATTGCTCTCACATAAATGCCATGCGCCTTGTGATCATCCTCCGCTGCTGCCCTGTACCGCTCACGGATGTTCGCCAAGACGTTTGGCAGCTCCAGATGACGTAGCTGAAACCCACAGCACACGCGGCAAACTGCAGAAAGTGTAAAAGACTGCAGAAAGTGTAAAAGACTGCAGAAAGTGTACAAGACTGCAGAAAGTGTACATGACTGCAGAAAGTGTACAAGACTGCAGAAAGTGTACAAGACTGCAAGAAGTGTAAAAGACTGTAGAAAATGTAAATCACGTTTTGCTAGCCGCTTTGAAGGTTGGAATTTTCCTTTGGTGTGTGTTTTACTTGAGTATTGTCGGGGATTCCGAAGACGTCGTCAGCGAGGCAGATGCTCGAGAGGGGCTGCAAAGACGCATACACCGGAAACACCACTACGACCATGACCACCCCTTCGCGTAGAGACTCCGCAGACAACTAATATCCGGAGCTGCTTGCTGCTGGATGGCGTCTCTGCCCTTTCCTCCGCCACGACTCCTGCTACCGCGTTCGACGAGCTGTCGAAATTGGGCTGGCTGCCTGTCTTACCGCGTAGAGATGGACGAACGAGCCCCCTCCAGAAGCTGCATCTCGTTCACGTGAACACTCCAAGCCACAGTTGGCTGCGACTGCGGCTACTCCTGGGGGTACACCTGGGGGCTGGGGATCACAAACGATGCCGCGAACAAACGGTGGCAGCGGTGCGAGTTCGCCTTCTTCCGGAGACTTTGGGAGCTGCATGCCGTCAAGGGGTCCTCCCGATGTCGCGCTGATCCACACAGCCTTCCCCAGGAGCTGTTTTGGCAGCTGCTCCTTCTGCTGTGCACTCTGAGCGGCCTGAAGCCTTCTCTGCTGCATTCGAAGCGGCTGCCAGCTCGCAGCAGGGGAGGGAGAGGGGCCTCCTCGCGCGAAGGGGCTTTTTCCACACGAGGCATGGGCACCCCAGGGAGTGCCACGCAGTGGGCTTCGTGCTCCCTTCGCCCCCCTCTCGACGCGTGCAGACTTCTGCGGAGCCAAAGAAGAACAGCTGAGGGTTTCGGGAGACGCCGTTGCACCTGTATCAAACCCTGCTGCAGCAGATACCGATGACCGCTTCCTCTTCATGGCTCCCTGCTGGCGCTGCCTCTCATGTTCATGCTGCCTCTCGTGCTGCTGCTCTTGGGAGCAGCTCGAGTGCATCGTGGCTGGGAAGCTTGTGCTGCCTCCGGGGACCAATTCAAAGGGGGGCCCCTCCGGCGCCTTCAAGCAGCAAAGCCAGCGGGGGGCCCCCAGAGGTGAGTGAACTGCAGGGGCTCTGGTAATAGAGCTTCACACAAAGCTCCAAAATCCTTTGTTTCTGAACATTTCGGTTTGAGAAAGGAGCAAGCAGCAGAGAGGAAGAACGAGAAGAGAAGGCCGAAGCCGGCACTCGGTGGGCAAAAGTGGTTTTAGGGTGGGGTTGGGGCCCCCCGCGCGCACTGCAAGGCGAGGCAGAGAGAAGGTCCCCGTTCACTCCTGAAAGCCACAAACCCTTCTTGAAATGTGACATTCCGTGAGTAATAACATACCTCTTATCGCGGCTCTCCGCTTGCTTGCGCAAGTTGTCTTTTGCCCCGACACTGTAGGCGCATACGACGGCGACAAAGTGTAGCGCTTAGCCTTATGGGACCAGTGAGCGCCTGTCGGCGGGGGTTACAAAGCAACATTCAACTTAAACAGAGCAATAGAGGCGTATGGGAGGGCTTTGAGAACAGCGCCTAGCTTTTGGAGATGAAAGCTGCAACACTTGGATATCAAGCCCCTTGATTGGCGTTTTTGTAGGACTCGCTGAAGGTTTGTCTACGACCTGATGAGCCTGTTAATAGTTCTGATACCAAGAGAATTTCAGGGCGAATCTGATCAAACCTTGCTTGTCTTTGCTTCCTGGGTGGCTGTATCTCTGCCTTCTTCCTCGAGACGCCTCATATTGCTGGGGCGCAGTAACCACTAAAGCACTAATCGAAGTTGACACCGCACCCGGAGCTGCTCTGAACCAAGGCAAGTTTGCTGATGAACGGGCTTTCCTGCCTCCCCCTATCACTTGGGAAGAGGATGCCCACATCTTTGTCCTTCTTTTCATAAAGAAAGAAATAGAATCCTACGTGTAAGCGAAAATGGAAGACACCAATATCGTGGACTGCAGCAAGTACCCGGGCACGAGGGCATGTCCAGTAGTGACCCACGCTGCATGTAAACAAGTACGATTACAATGAGCAAGACGATGCATACACCTCGGCTGCCGGATAAATCTCACGCCACTAGACGGACCGTGAGCTTGTTTCCACTGTAGTGCGACACCAGACATGGCCAGAAAAAACTCAGTTATTGCTTTTCGCGGTAATACCAAGACCAGCTCGTTGCTACGCTTCGAGGAAATGGGTATTGCTACAGCAGTGGAGGCCCGCTAGCGATCGGTATATCGATACTTTGCTGTGCAAATGCCCCAACGTCGGCCAACAGATTCTTTGTATCTGGCCTGTATTGTGCCACTACGTCTCACATCGGGTGGTAGAAGGTTGAACAGCGATTTAGAGTTTGAACAGGTGACCGGTGGACCGTTCACAAGTGATGAGTTTCTAGAAGTTTCACGAGCAAATGAGCTCAATTTTTGCAGCGTCAGTCAAGAAGGGAAAACTCAATCTGTGTGTAGAGCATTTGGGAGTGGAGGCTGTGCCAATTGGTCTCTATCCTTAAGTGGAAAACTGAGCAGCGCCTTCAGGCATAAGGCTGTAATGGGAGCGAAATAGGATGAAAGGTTATTCTGCGTTGAATTTAGGCCCTTCAACAGAATCAATGTAAGCAGAAGTTCGCTAGGCTTCGGTGACTTGCTTGTTAAACTAGACGGTGTGTAGTTTATGCTAAATATATGACTTCACACACGCATTTTTACACATGCCCACTTACCCCGATGACAGGCACAAGGGCGCGGTCCACGCTCTCACCCGCAGACTCAAATAGACCTATGTGCAGGTTGAACTCGCTAATGCCTTAGCCGAAGTGCATCGGCTAGTCAGTAGAAAATTTTATGAACCTGTCAAGGAGTGGATGAACGCTTAAATAAAAAACGGCGTCGTGCTAAGCCAAAGAGTTCAAAAACCTCTACTGCATACAGCTTGTGCGCTTTAGCTCTTGCGGGGGAAGCGGCTCGTGAAATTATCCAAGCGTTCATGTTTCATGAGAACAATTATTTCTGAGACTTCGTGTTTTTGTTGCAAGAAATGAGCCGGATTCGAAAATTTTGAAGCAGTTAAGAGGCATTTCCTTTATCTTCAATAACGTTGCTAAGTTCTGTGGGCTTCCATCTAATTGCCGAAATATAATTCTTGGATTTGCTCGACTCGTTGCTCATCTAAATGATCTGCTTCAGAAAAAGCAGTCTGTGCCCTGGACAAACGACACTGATGCCGCAGCAAGGACGCTTATCGGCCGCCCTACAACTCTTCCATCACCGGCGCATTATGAGCGTCATCTTTTCTGAAAACCAATGCTTATGACGTAGCTGTGGCTGCAAATCCCTCCCAACAAGCTGCGAGTTCTCCGAGGCAACCGAATTCAGCTTGTTATTTTCGCCGCCCAACCAGAATCGACTAACGGTGTTTAATGAGGGAAAAAGGATTCGATGTGTAGCGAGGAGCAGAAAAATTCTAGCACTACATATATGAACGTCGTTTTACTCCCCCAAATCATTGGTCTTTGATATACAATTTGATGAGTTCTCAGAGATTCAATAGCCTTACAGTAACTCTCTGGCTGGGGGTCTTCCTGCAGTACGACTTTCAGATCACGTGTATTGATGGCATCATCAAACGGGTCGTTCATGCGCCCTCGCGGCACCTCAACGGCAAACTAATGTGCAGTGTAAGCGCTCTTGCCTGTAAGGATTCACACTTGCCCTCAATGCTCCGCAAGGCTTATTTTTTCGGTAGCCATGCATCTGCTGATATTGCCAAAGTCCAAAACGGTACACGGGAGGAGCACCACGACGTTGAAGATTGACTGCTGTGATTTAGGGCAAAGCAGGTACTCCGTCGTTTGGACATTCTGCCTTCACTTCGCGGGTGCCGTACTGCATAAACCGTTGAGTCTTTTCTGGCATACCTGGAGTCGCAATGTGCTAGTCGCCATGGACTCTATTCTCGTATTCCTTTTTAACGATTTTCCCCCAGCGCGTCCTCTGCCTGAAATCGGTACCTTCATCTAGCGGTCTTAGGTTGAAAGCTCCCGCGAATTATTAGAATAAGAAATTCTCCTAACTAAGACTTATGCGCAGGCACTTTCAGGCATGATGTCTTGGCATTCATTCTTATGCCTGTTTTAGGTCGTGGAAATAGGATGTAGCGCATGCAGAGACTGTTCTGTAAGGTTCGGCGGCATCGCTGAAAAACAGTGTTTTTCGATCTTCTCTGCCTATTTATCGTACTTGTCGTCTGTTTTCTCGTAGCACAAGGCCAGAACATTTCAGCGCTCTGACGGTAGCAAGCTTTCGCCCCTCCGCTGTGGTGTTGGTTTGGTCCCCTTGTGGTTATTGGTTAGAGTGTACGTCTTTCGTCTAGTTTATTCCTCTCTAGTAATTGATGCACACTTTGCGTTTCGCATGTGCACTGTTCTGGCCTTTTCTCTTCCTGGGTAGTAGTGATGGGACGAAAACTCTTCTGCTTGCTTACTCTTAGTTGGGCTTGTGATACCCATAGGGACACGTGGGCAAGTTATTCAAAAAAGGAGGGGAAGATGTACCGGGCTAAGCTAGTCTTTACACTTTTCACTGCGCTAGTTGTATTAAGATGATAATCAATAAACGAATGACGACGTAATTCTGTCCGCGGATACCTCTTACTCACTGCACAGTAGCTACCAGAAAACGCAGTGTTGTGTGTGTGTGTGTTTGTGTGTGTGTTCTACGTGAAACGTGAAGCTAGCTGTTAAAGTTCAGAGTACTTAGAGGGTAAAATGATGAAATCCCCAGCTGGCCCTGTCATGTCGGAATCCTGAGGAACGCGGGCAAGGGAAGGTGGAAGCTCTGTTGGAAGGACATTGAATGTCTTTACTAAGCGTTGTATCGATTTTGAAGAGCAGCGTCTTTACGGAGGAATTTGAAGAAATATGACGACCAACGAATACGGCCAAATTCCTGTGGTCTGGCAGCACGGGGTAAGACGACGGCTTTTGTGGTTATACACCTGCGAGTGATGTTTCTTGAGTGTAACTGCTTTCCTGCTGGATGAGGGCCTTGAAATAATGCACTGTTAACAATGGATTGGCTTGGGCCAACAAGTGAGGCATCCGATGCAATGGAATTTACATTCAAGGCAGCATTAAGCTGCCAAGAAACGAATCCGAGTATAAGGTGGTAGAACGCCAGCGGCACGGAATCGAGCATCTAATTAGCCATGCCACTTCGCAGTTAATCAGTGGCGGGCGAAGAAGTCCACCAAAGAGGGTGTGTTTGGCAGTTTGTCCACTTTTCCCTTACAAAATACAGGGATTTTGCATGCTCCTTAGAGTGCACAAAGTTGAACAGTCTCCGGGATATTCCTCAGTAAAGAAGGGCACTGGAATCAGGCTGCCCACAAGACAGGACGGGGTCTTTAAACCTACGAAATTTGGCTGTTAATGCCTCCATGAAGCTCAGATTGTTACAGTGGATGCAGAATGATCCATGATGGAAGCCAGCAGTTGAGCGCTCATACGGGGGCCCTACACTTCGTAGAGGCTGAGGTACCAGCAGCAGGCGCTGCTACGACTAGCAGGGAGAGGGGCCAATGCGCGGGGTGCACCAAAATGGCATACGTCGAGCAGAAATTTTATATAATATCTTGCTTCTTATGTTGTACAGACCAAATTGCCGAGTCAAGCTCCACAAGCAAATGGCCGTCTCGGAGCCTGCCCGCGCCGCCAATGAGACTTTAGGGTGTGGCATGTGCGCTTTAGATGGTGTGGCTACAAAACCCTCATAAAAAATAGATTTAGCTGAGTAGCAACTGTACATCGTCTTCGCATAGCCACTCCTTCTTCCCCGTACCCGCTGCGTCGGCTGTGTGTGAGAACACCTCTTTTGCCCGCTTCATGAAGCCGCGGAGCTTTGAACGGGCTGGAAAGCGCTTGTTTGCTCTCGATTCCTCTCTCCGTTTGTTTTTTGTCGGTTCCCCTTCGCGGCGCCTTCCTTTGTGATCGCGCGCGCCTTCCCATCACTAGCCATCCTGGACGGTGGTCAAGCAGCAGCCCTTGGGGAACTCACTCCCAAGTCGCTCTCAAACTTTCTCGCCGCACAATCTGCTGAGCACCCACTTCCCCTCCCTTCCGTCGAGGAGCTTCACTCGCTTCCGTTGCGAGCGCTCCTTAAAGCAAGCAGGGACCACCCCGCTGCTGCCGCCCCGTAGTCTGAGGCAGGAACGGCCGCCTTCTTCTCGTAGCCTTGCTGCTGCTCTCACAATGTCTTCCAGAAACCCCTCCTGGGCTAGAGAGAGGGAAGAATCCGTCGCTTCCAATAGGTGTCTCCTCTCTCTTGGCTTCGATGTTACCTGTTGGGACTGTGCACGCATCCTCACATGTCTTCTTTGGACTACCGTCGCCATCCTGTGCGCTGGCCTCTTTCTCGGATTTCCCATCTCGCATCACAGGCAAGCAGCAGCAGCACGTGCGTGCATGCATGCACGCTCTTGGAGACGCAGCTGCTGTGCTTGCGACAGCCGTTGCGACTCCCGGATTACGCCCAGCGACACCAGCGCCCTTGGCAGCTCTCGCTGCATCCGAGCTCCCCGTTGCTTGCCTATATGTCGTGCAGAATACGGCGCGGTACCGCTCGTGAGGCGTTATTCACGCGGATCGTGATGTTGCTGCCAGTGTGCGTATGTGTGTTGTTTTCTCTGCGCCACAGAACAGCCTACTTGCTCCCAATGCTGGGGGCTGTCCAATCGGCAATGCCATCTTTCATGGTATGGATTCTCTTTTTCATTGCTGCATAGCAGTCGTATGTGCTCGATGCTCCTGCTGAGCCCGCTTCCTGCAGTCTCTCTCTGCGTGCACAGTGCAGTGCCGTTGCGCCTGTTCTAGCGGGGATCCGCGGAAACGCGCAGCCAGCTAGCCAGCTAGCCAGCTAGCTTCGCTTTCGCCGCATCCGCACACCTCCTGCGTCGTGATTGCGCATGCAAGGGAGACGCTATGCATGTTAGGCATGTCCAGTTGCACGGCGAACCTCAGACTTGCATTTCTCGGTGAAGATAGCTGCGCTTTGTCATCCTCTCCCGTGTGTTTCTTCCCTGTGTCGCTCAGTGCGCCTGCTTGGTCCTGATGTTTCATCGTCAGCGGGTCCGACTTTGTGGCCTCTCACGGGAGACGGCCGATGCATACGTTGGAGCATATCGATTTTTATCTGCCCTTGGCTGCCTCGTCTATTTGGTGTTTCTTATGGCCACTATTTTTGTTTTCCAGGTGGGAGAAACGCGTCCCCGCATAAAAAGCACTGCCACCCTCCCCCGCTTCCCATGATTCTGACATGCATGCATGGCTTCCTCATATTTTGTACACTTTTCCCCAAATACCCCCCCTTTCCCCCCCCGTCGCCACTCAGACATCCGGATCCACTGCGCCATCTTTCCCCAAATCAAACCCCGTCCATGCAGTGCCCATCCCACACGCCCCACCCTCCTATTCATCGAGACTTTGTTTACTTGATCAGTTCTGGTTAGGGTGCTTGCATGCAAGGATGCGTATGTGTATTTATGTATGTATGTATGTGTATTCGTATGTGCATCGGTATATGTATCTGTGTGTGAATGTGTATGTATCGGCGTGTGTATGTGTGTGTATATATATGTGTATCTGCATATATATACATATATGTTCATATATATATACATATATATATATGTAGATGGCTGTATCTGTGTGTTTCTTTGTGCTGCCTGTGTGCCTGCTCGCAGCTGGACTGTGCAGAGGATCCGGCCTACTTCTTCATGACATCCACGTGGCTGTTGGTGGCCCTCTTGTGGTTCGTAATGCAGGCGTGTCTCAAGCCGTCTCCTAAGCAAATCGATGACATGGTGCGACTCTATGAGCACTCTCACCCTGGCGGCACGCTGTCGCCCGCGCCTCCGTCCGCCGATCAGGGGCCTCATGTGGGGGCTTTAGTTGCAACGGTGGGAGCCCCTCTGCAGAACCCTTATGGAGGCAGCTCCACTGAAATGACACGCGTCACTTCGCCACAGCAGGTAGTTATAGGCCATGTGCGTTCTTAGATAGCCCCCGCTGCTGCGGGAGCAGCCGTGGGGAGGAAGCCGCGGGAGGCTGCCGGGAAGGGGGCTCATCGCACAGGTGCACCGTGTTTGCTCTACAAGCTGGCGGGGAGAAAAAGGCCTTCGTGGCTCAACGGGAGGGGCCCCCCCTACACACTGTACCACCAACAAAAGGAGCAGCTACTGCTGCTGTCGCCGCATCGGCGGTCGAGGAGTAGGGGAAAAGTTAGGGAGCGGTTCGGTGCGCGCGTGGAGACACGGGCACTTCGTGTGAGGGACGCGCCTTTAGGCGTTGCATCCTTGAAAGCACGCTGGGAATTTCCCTCTGCTGCTGCTCATAGAATCCCTTTAGTGGCCCCCCATGCGAGAGGCTCCCGAGTTGTGTTTTGCGACTTCTTTAGTAGCGCCTCAACTGTATCCACCTCTCGAGCGGGAAAGAGAAGGACCGACGCCCCCTTGGGGAGGCTCGTTAACAGGCGTTCTCGCAAGCAGCGTAGAGGGGGCAGGGAAGTATTCCACAGCGGGGGAGTAAGAGGGAGGAGCCTCAAGCAGACGATACGTGTAGAGAGGGGCTAGACGTCCGTGCAACCGTAGCCTGCTCTTTCTGTAACGCTTAAAAGTGCTCCTGCCTGCCTGGAAGGGTTGGCATGTCGGCTAGTCTGCCGCCTCCCCGCATGCACGCCTTGCAACTTCCGAGTCGGGGCTTTCCCGTTGCTGCTTCCACCTCAGTGTAACTCTGCATTCCATCGCCCCCTTTGCGGCACTCTCCTGCCTTCCCCTCGGTGCACATGCAGCGCGTCTTTGCGCCTGTGCCTGCCTGCCTGTCACGTGGACTCGGCGTGCCGGCCGTCATGCGGTGCAGTATTTAAAAGTGGGAGGCGTGATTTGCAGATGCGTGTAGACAACTGTCACCCCTTGGACTCCCACAGAAGCATTCGAACGTGTGTACCTATCACATGCCCCTCGATGCGTTGCAAAAGGGTAATTCCTTGGATGGGCGCGGCACCTGTAGCAGCTTCTAGACCGCGTCGTGCCCAGCATATGCTAGCGAGCGCACCTATATATACATAATCTATGAAGACCACGTATATATACACTATATATATATATATAGATATATTTTTAATAGCAGTCCGGGGGCATCCCCTGAGCTGCAAGTCACCTGCGGCGCAACCTATGAAAGAAAGGCGCCTCTCCCCCCTCTTGTTGGCAGCTGTACTATGTGAGGAAGCGGCACAAGTACTCGTGACTACGCATCGCACTTGAAGGGGTATAGACTGCGTGTATGTCCGTGTCTGCCCATCGAAATGCACACCCAGATGGATGCATCTCCGCGACTCCAAGGCACCTCCACCTCGGCTGCGGGGGCCAGAGGAACAGCCGATACAAAGGCTTTGCAGTTTGTTTTGTTGCGCCTTGCCAGAGGAGCTGACCCTCTTTGATCGGGTGCACGCAATGAAACAGCAGCGGCCGCAAGGGGGCAGCCAGCCCCTCTGCTCTCTCTGTTTCCAGTTTCTAGGGGAGGACGGCAGCACCTCCTTCCGTGCCAAGAAGAAAGGCACTATTAGGAGAAGGCTAAGGGTGTGCATGTGGCTGCAAGGGCGATCGATGAACAACGTGCTTCTCTTCCAGAACCCCGCAAGGGCTGCTCCGCCCACCTCCTCCCCCCTCCTTCCAGGTGCAGTTAGCCTTCCCTCCCCTCCCCCCCTCTCCCGCTGCTACGGTGCAGATATACACATCCGGACCCACAGTGATGCGGAAGGAGAAGCGAACGGAAGGGAGCAGTCCCCCCTCGCCTGTGCTTCAGCGATTACGGCTTCGAGGACGCGCCTCCCCCACCAAAAGTGCGATCCAAGATGTACCACAGCATGAACAGCACAAAGAGGTAAATCGGCAGGTGCCATAGCTCAGCCAGGCTACGACCCCCTCTGCATTCAAGTTGCTGTTTGAGGGCTTCGTTCTCCCGCGTCAGTTCCTCCTTGTGCTTTTCCATCGCAAGGGTATACTCTACCAACTGATCGTACTGCTGCTTCAAATCTGCAGCACTAGTGGCGTTGCTGCCGCTTCCCCCTGCAGTCGCCGATGTAGGCGCTGCTGTGCTACCAGCACCCTCGGCGCCTCGTCCTCCTCCCGAGGCAGAACCTTCCCCCGGGAGAGAGCCCGTGTGGCCTGTGGATAGCTGACCATTTACTCTCTTGAAAGACACGCTGAGCCTCGTTTCTTCCACTTTCGCCTTCTCCAGAGAGAGCCAGTAGTGTCGTGGGAGGGTGCAGTTGCTGTCAACTGGCGTCGCTTGCACCAAGAAACGATCCGTGGAATTCGTGGGTGGCTCCTCAGACAAGGCCTGTAGGACTATCTGCACAGAGCGAACCTCGCCTTGAGGCACCACACCTGCAGCAGAACCGCCACCGTTTTACCGGCAGTTCGAAACAGCGCACACATAGGCATCATAAACTACCCAACACACAAGCATCCGTCCCCCTCCACATCGTCCTTCCCCATAGAATATATTCCCCGCCCGCTCAACTTTTCCGGTGTCTAAACACTTCGCATCGCCCTTTCAAAAAGATCGAGCAGCCGCCGCGCTCCATTTCGGAATTTAACACCCTTTTCGCCTCGGCGAGAGCACCGGATACGAGGGCACACAAGAGCTGTTAGCGTCCCTGAAGGAGTCGCTGCATGCTCTGCCCCTCCCTAGCTAGCTAGCTGCATTGCCGCTATTACTCCAAGATTTTCGAGCACGCAGCGGGCAGCCAACGCCCTCAACGCCTCGGCGTACCCCCCTCCCTTCTCGCTAGCTCAGCTCCACAGTTACCCCTCTCCCCTTTCCCCCCCTCCCACTCCCCTTCCTACGAGTGCCAGCTTCTCTCCTGGGCCTGGTGAGACACCAGCCAGCGCACCTGTAGAAGGCCGGACCAAATAGCTCTTGGGAGCGGTTGTCTTGATTTTATAGGCGACGAACGGCTGCGTGGAAACGTTCTGGAGAGTCAGCTCGACTGTCGAGTTGCTGAACAGCGTTACAGGAATCTCCAGCACGCGCTCGGGGGAGACTTGCAGCAGTGGCATCTTCTAGAGGGTGCAGGCAGTCGCAAGGAGAGAGGAATGGTGCAAAACAAGCAACGAACTGATACCAGACACAGGGGCAGAGCAAGGGGCCCTCCTGCTGCAGAGACTCCGGAAGGAGGGAAGCCCAACTGCTGCTGCTGCTGCTGCAGAAAAGGAGGAGCAGCAAAGAATGGACGTGCAACTTGATTGCACAGAATTTAAGACGGAGAGGCAACGGTGCTGCCAGGTAGCTCTGCAGCACACAGCCGACACCACCAGCAGCGGCAGCTCCTGCTGTATAGCACAGCGGCAGCAGCAACAGCGGCGGGGGAGGCGATACACGCGGCAGCACAATCAGAAGACAGGACTACTCAGACAGAAGTGCAAGCGCAAATTCAGAAAGAAAAAAGCCTTTTGAAGGGGCAAGGCCCCCTAGATGCTGCCAACGTGCGGTTGCAGCAGCAGCCGCAGTAGTACTACCAGCAGCAGCTGCTGCCACCGCAAGCTCTTCAGCACTCCGACTCGTGTGTATGCCGTTGCAATTAACTTTTCTCGTTTCTTGTTTCTGTGCAATCAAGCATTATTTTGTTGAGGCAATAGACAACTATGAGAGCCAGAGGGGAGAGGACTCCGACCGACTCCTCTTTCGCTTCCCCAGTGTTGCCCTAGCAACCACGCCTGCAGCGCTGAAGTTGCGCGACACAGCATAAGCGTCCTCGCCATGTGCTCTGTCATCTCCTTTCCATCATCCAGTGATTTTGGAGAAAGCTACCTAAGAAATATTGCTACTTTAAGCTAATGTGCATCTCTATTCAGACTGCTAGTTCGTTTCTGTCGTCATTCCCGTGCTTTTGCGCCGTACTGCTTCCTAGGCGTCTGGTACCACGGAGTTATCAGCAAACGGCAGCACCCACGGAGGGAGGGGCCCCTCAACCTTTGCTTTCTAATTTTGGGGGGACAAAATACATATAAGAAACAAATGCAGCTCGCCAACTACAGAGAACTAGGATTTTAGGGGACACAGTAGACCTGCTTGTCTTAAACGTGTAGTGTTTCTGCTGCCTCGCAGAACAGAGACATCACCGGAGCGCCCCATATCACCACGCACTCCTGGGGGTTGGCGATCCACACACAATCGCAACTGCATGGTGGAATACAAAGCCAGTGCCTGTATTGCGGGGGCTTTGATGACGAAAAAAGCTTTGAGAACTTACACCTAAGGAAACCATGAGGCAATCCCTCTTGGCGCACTTTTAACCGCTTAACGCTCCCTTCTCCCCCGACCACCCCGCCACTCCCACCCAGTGGGCTTCCTGAGTTATTAAAGGAGGCAGAATACAGTCGAGTGAGCAGTGAACTACGTGCGGCGTTTCGGCTCTCTCTGCGCGCGGGCTGCACTCCACGGAAGAGTGGCGTTGTGGGCAAACTGCGGAGTGCAACCCGAGGGCTGCCGTAGCTGGGAAGCGTGTGGCCTTCACTTCTTCTGGCGCCTTCGAGGCACCAAGAAGGCTCTGAAGCACCACCTCGGAGTACAGATTTCGGGAGACCCTCGGGGATACGCTTATGATACAGCTCTGACACGAAAACGCACTCACCGAAGAGGCAGCCCATTGCTTTCACTCACGTCACGAGATACCGCAAACAGTGGCAGTCGACCAGAAATCGACAAGTGCACAGTTGCTACAAAGTGCGCGCATCTGTCAAACACAGACACTGCTGCCAAAGGGCCCCTCGGGCCCTGGTTTGGGGGATGTCTGACGCACTCTCAATCGGCGTTTGTTGACTGCAGCTGTCAGGCTCCAACTACGATCTCCGTAGTGAGACGCCTAACCCTAGACTGAACGGGAACTTGATAGAAAATTACTGCGTCTATCTTGAAACAGTTACGTCCTCCTGGGCTGCGTCACTGAGGGTTCCGATGTGCGGCGAGAGGGGCAGTTGGGGTGGCCGTGGCTACGCCCTCTATGCACGCCTATCATGAACAGCGATTTGTACAGCGCACTTAGAAAACACACATACCCGACATTGCGTCTCGCGTCCACCTAAGACAAGTGAGCCAGTGAAGCATTTCTTCACAAATGCATTTCTAAATATAGCTTGGGTAGTTTAAGGTCTTAAGTGTCGTTTAGCGCGTTACATCCCCTTTGCAGCAGCAACACAGGCTAAATGGCTTGTCAGGGGAAGTGTTGCATCGCTGCTTCTGCGACAACATTCCTGGGCTCCGTACAACCGGTCCTGCGTTCTCCGGGGTTGGTTGTGCCTTAGACTACAGCGCAATCAATCAAGCGAGCGAGAGCGAGCGATGGTGCCCCTCCTCGGCTACAGGGAGCGTGCTCTCTCTGAGAGGAGAAGGATGTCTAAAGACTAAGAATGGCTGCTCACACCTTGCTGCAGCAACGCATGCAATAGCAACAGATCCATTGCTGCTAAGGGGTGCGGTAGGGGCCCGCCCCCGTCCCACTTTGGCTTAACAAAGGGCACCTCGAAGCATCCCGGAGGCCCCTCTCTATTCCGCGTATCAGAAGCTTCATGCGCCTCTTCTGTCACCCCAGCGCGAGATTCCCCCACCCCAACACAGGCCCCAGTAGGCTCAGCACGCTGCTGCCCCTGGTGGGGGGGTTCCCCCAAGGGTGCCTCCCTGTGGATTTCGCGGTACTGAAGTGCAGTCCAGCCAATCATGGCTGCGTTGTCGCTACACAGAGAAGCAGCGGGAACAACCAATCGTTCCACACCTCTAACAGCGCTCTGCCTGCCGCTGTTGCCGCAGGCCCCACAATAGCACCACATAACTGAGACACATTGCAGGGGGTGGGAATTTCTGGAAACGAAATCGCGACCACTGGGCACGCTGCTGACCTCTTGAGTACCTCTTGGCATCACTAAGGTGCACTGCTGGCATGTAGAGGGAAAGCCTGCCTCCTCGAGGCGTCCCTCTTCAGCTGCTGCCCTCGCTGCCTTTGCCCGTAGCCAGGCTGAATCAGAAGCTCTCCTGGAGAGGAGTTCGCGAGGAACCAGAAGGGGCACCTTTGCGTCAAAGGCGTGACTCTCTGGTGGCAGATTACAACAGAGCGAGACAAAAGAAGAGAGACGCACACGGAAGCCCAGGAAGGACTCGAAGGGGAATCGCCGCACGCGTTCTCTGATCAGCGCCTTGACAGAGTCTTCCTGCTCCTGGTCCTTAAGGTGCTGCTTTTCTGAGCTGATAAACGTGTCTGCGCCGCCCGTGGGGAGGGGTGATCCATTTTCCAGCCCTGGTGCCTTGACAAGGCTGATAGGCCGCCTTTCGACGAGTCGAATGAGGCGCTTTTTTAAGGCTGCGAATTCGCGTTGCTGCAAGCGGAGGTCGCCGCGCTGATGCAGCCGCTCCAGCACCAGCCGCTGCAGCGCCTTGTTTCGAGCGACTCCTGAGAGATACCAGAGAGACGAATGCATGCATGCACGCCAAGGAGAAAGGACTCGGCAACCCGTACGAAGGTCCACGCAACACCGCATTACACCCATGCCGCAGCGCAGGAGGCGGGTACTTCATTGCAACGGCAACACTGAAGGCAGGAGCGAGCACCAGAAGCGACAGTGTCAGGGGCAAGCCAAGCGAAAAGGAGCAGCCGCAGCAGGAGCTGACCGCCAGCGAGAGCAACAGTTCTGATTTCTGGAATGAACTCGGCAAGCCAAAGAGCCTGGGAGAGGCGGACGCCGACAGGCTCAAAGAGACCTTTAATTACGGGAGCACACACATACACAGCAGACGAAGGGGTAGAGACAGCCTTGGTGGCGACAAGCCTGCAAGCCACGAGTTGATCGGCTCCTCGGAATTCCACGCTAATTAAAATGCAGAGAACAGCACTGGCAGTGGCGGCAGGAGAAGAAAAGGGGATCTCACAGCGTTGAATATATGCAGCAAGTCTGCGCTGCGCTGATAGACTGAGGGCGCCTTGAAGGGGCCTGACGGACTCCAGCTGCCTCGCGAGATGCGCCTTCAAGCCAGAAAAGCTACACGAAAGAGTTACAGCAGAAAGAAACACAAGCGCAGCTGCACCATTGTAGAGTCCTTAACCACGAGGCCGCTCGTGGGATTGTACGTGTGATTTTGTGTGTGTGAGTGTGTGATTATGTGTGTGTTTGGGTTTGTGATTTTGTGTGTGTGTGCGATTATATGTGTGCGATTATATGTGTGTGTGTGATTATATGTGTGAGTGTGTGATTATATGTGTGTGAGTGTGTGATCATATGCGTGTGTGTGTGATTATTTCTGTGTGTGTGATTATGTGTGATTATGTCTGTGTGTGTGTGTGGGAGTGTGTGTAGCCCTTAGGCTACACTCTGACTACGTAGAATCCTCCTTTCTTGTAAAGGCGGTTTATGCGCAGAGTCTAGACCGTAGCGATTGCACACCACTGCGCATGAGAGAGAGGAGCGTGGCTTGAGCAAAGGTAGCGGAACTAGGTCCAGAAGAAGCAGCCATGCAGGAAGTTTCAACGCTGTACCCAGGAGAGCCGACCAGAGGATCACCGCGCTAAGTGAGTTACAGCCCCTAACGAAGGGTGTGGTCAGGAAATCCTCCTAATCCAATGAATGCAGGTGCTTCTTCTCCTAGAAGCCGACCACACCTAGCTTGTGCTGCAGGCTTTCTTGAAGGTGATGAAGTCGATTCGCGCTCACCTCATGTCGAGTGTCCGTGCAGCGTGAGAGGACGGGATTTTGCGAGCCTGCCAGCCTTCCTCGTCAGCTGCTGCTGCAAGCTCCTCCAAGTAAGCCCCTCCAGCCTGGTGGGGGTGGGGGTGGTGTTGCTCCCGAGGGGCATGTTGGGGTGCTGTGGAGAGGTTCTGGAGGAGGCGTGCAGTCTTATCAAGGGCCTCCCCCAACGCGTCGTCTAGCGAGCGTCCAAGCGTTACCAACCGGAGGGGCAGGGGGGCCCCCACGGGCACAGGGGCCTCCGGTGCCTGGGGGCCCCCCGGGGGCCCCTCCTTCGGCGGGAAGACTTCGAGCTGCGGCTGAAGGGAGAAGTGGCACTGTGACTGCGCCGAGGCTTCGCGCGGCGTGCGCGCTGCAGAGCCTCGTGTGCCAGGAGGGCTGAGTGAGAGAGTTTCGCCGCTGGGAGCTTTGGAGGGAGAACGCCGACCCCCCCCAAGCGAACGCCGCCGCTCTCCACCGAACTGGGCGGCTCGGAAGCCTTCTCCTGAGAGAGCCTCCGCCTTCACGAGCAACGAAAACTGGGAGTGCCCCCCGGAGAGCAGTAGACACAACATGGGATCCAAAGGAGACACGTCTGATGAGGAAGCCTTGCTGGATCGGCCGGCTCCCGAGTCTGCTTCGGCCGCTTGCGGCGTTTCTGTTGCTGCGGCAACGGCAGCCGCCTCCTCCAGCCTTTCCGTCGGAGACTCCCCCCCACAAGGCGGAGGGGGGCTTTCTTCGAGCGTGCCGGAGGAGCCCCCTCTCGAAGAAGCGGAGGTCTCCCCGTCGAACGGAGGAGCTCCTGAGGGCGGTACAAGGGGGAAGACGGAGGCTCCCGGGAGACTCGCACTCAGCGCATGCCCGTGCAGGTGGTGCACGCCGATGAGGCAAGGCATCCGGCGTGCTGCTGCCGCAGCGAGCCTCGCCTTCACAGCGACCTCGACAGCAGCGCGCTGTTGCTGCTGCTGCTCCAAGCGGCATCCACGGAGGCACGCCTTAGGGGCCCCCCGCAGAAGGCGACGCACTGCGCACCGCAAGTGCCAAGACGCGTCTATCCGGATTAGTCTATCACGACTCCCTGAGAAAGCCGCTTCAGGGGGGTGCATCAGGGAGGGATGCTCGGCTGCAGGCCCTCCCTGCAACTCCCCCAGGATCTCCGTGTACGCAGCGGCAAGCAGATCGTCGAGGGAACGCTTCTCCGCCCTCGAGAGGAGCAGCAGCTCTCGGAGAGACTGGGAGAAGCACACGGCTGCCTCTGCCGCAGCTCTGAGGCAAAGGGCAAGACCTGGCCCCTCAGTGAACGCGAAGCAGCTCAGCGACAAAGTATCCGCATCTGAGACACCTCGAAAAAACAACGCAGTAGACATAACAAAGGCATCTGAGGCTTGCTCTGGTAGTGGTCTTAGACTGCGCTCTGCTTGTACATGCGCCCAAAATCACCCAGCAGCACCAATCGGCCCCCTGCCTCCCTCGCTCGAACTGGCTCCCCGCGCAGGCGTCCTTCCCGACAGCCTGCTTCCCTCTTCTCCTCCTCTCGCCACGCGCGTGTTCGAAAACACTCCCAAGCTCGTGTTGTGTGTGGGTGTGCCTCTCGCACGCGGCGAGACCTCCTCTACAGGCTCTCGACAAGAAACGTGCGGGGGAGCGAGGGGGTTATTTTTTAGCTCGTGAACTGCGCTTTGGAACGGGCTGAGGGAATTTTCTACTGCGGCAGTCCTTCCTCGAAGACCAATGCAAGAGGGAAGGAAAGGGAGGGGGCTCTGTGAGCAGCCGAAGCAAGCGCGATTCGCCAAGGGACGAAGAAGAGGAGACACACCTGCCTTCGCGAGAGCCTCCTGAAGAACGAGAGGTATCCGAGAGCGGTGGAGACTGGCGGCTGCTGCTGGGCAGACACCCCCGTAGAGGGCGTTGAGAGCTCCCTGACCCCACACGCAGTTGCTCTTCACTTCGCCTGTGCTGCACACGCCACAGCACCGCAGGCGGGACGGAGCGCTTAGCCTTTTCAGACACACAATCCTTCGCGGAATCTCGAAGCGGCCTCCGCAGAGGGCAACAACAACACTGAGCAAGGCAAAGAGCAGCTCCAAACAGCAGCTTCAATCAGCAGCTCCAAACAGCAGCTCCAAACAGCAGCTTCAAACAGCAGCTCCAAACAGCAGCTCCAAACAGCAGCTCCAAACAGCAGCTCCAAACAGCAGCTTCAAACAGCAGCTTCAAACAGCAGCTTCAAACAGCAGCTCCAAACAGCAGCTTCAATCAGCAGCTCCAAACAGCAGCTCCAAACAGCAGCTTCAAACAGCAGCTTCAAACAGCAGCTCCAAACAGCAGCTCCAAACAGCAGCTTCAAACAGCAGCTCCAATCAGCAGCTTCAATCAGCAGCTCCAAACAGACCTGGAAACGACAGCCGCGGCAGTGTCATCACAGGATGTCTCTAGAGCCAAGCACAACTCAGGAGTCTCCGAAGGAACCTTTTGCGCAGACTTGACCAACAGCGCCGAAGGAGCAGTCGTTAAGAAGGTTTCCAGGGGAGCCTCCAAGGAGCAGGAAGACGGGCACTGCCGTCCTTTTCCGCGATACCCCCAGAAGGCGGCTCCGTGGGGAGCGAGTGTGAATCCATGGGCAGAGGCATCCGGCTGGCGATTCGGCAGCGCTAGTGCTGTCAGCAGCAGCAGCAGCCTGAAGTCGTGACGACGACGCATCGCTGCTGCGCCCGCTGCTCTCTCTCCACAGCTGCAAGGGGCCCAAGGGGCCCCTTAAGTGGGTTTGGCGAGCAGATCCGCCATTATTCTAGGACGATCTCAACTAGAGCAAGCGGCGCAAGGCTGAAATACTGGATGCCGCCGGGGCAGTGAGGCGAAAGTGACTCATAAAATTGGTCATGAACACACAAACCTGAGGCAATTTTAGAGGCAGCTTCTTCCTGGTGGCCAGAGGGGGGCCCTGCCCTGCTGCAGGGGGAGGGGCCCCCCACCAAGGGCCCCCAGGGCACCAGGGGTCAATTCGCTGCACGAGGCCCCGTCAGTACACCGGAGAAACCCTTGGTGTTTCTAGTTACTGCGGTTTTACGAATTCCAGTGATTTTTACATTCGCGCCGCTCTATTTTGGACCCTGAAGAGCCGTCCTTCCATGGGAGCCTCGTCAGCAGCCCTCTCGCCGGGGGGCACATAGACATGCCTCTGGATGCTGAAAGCCAGCAGCTTTTTCCATTTGATTTCATTTCACCTTCACGGGTTCACCCGATGCGCACTCTCTCTCTCTTTCTGCCGCGTGACTCTGTGCGCTCAGTGTCACGATGACATCCCTGCCCGCACTGCCTCCCGCCGCAGCTGCGCATGCTGCCCCTGCTGCTGCTTCTCCTGAGCCTGCTGCTGCCGCCTCCAGCCTCCAGACGCAGGAACGGCGGCAGCACAATACCTCGGATAGTATACCGCGTGGACCTCTCCCCACCTCGCTGTTGGTGCTGGCAGAGGCCCTAGACGGCTCCTTCTGCCCACTGATAAATGAACTGACGCAGCAACTTGTGCAGCAGCTGCTGCTGCTCCACGAAGAGCATCCCTGCCTCTTCCAGCTTGCGGAGTCTCCTTCGGGGGGCCCTCACGAAGGCTCCTTGAGGAACTCTCCAGGGCTTCCCGCCTTCTCTCTTGAGGTGGAGGGGCGCTTAGGAGTCATAAGGGAGCGCGATAGCGGATCCAGGCTGCAGCTCCCCGTCGCGAGCCACGCGGTGCTGCAGCCTTCCTTCTGCATGCAAGTCGGTGGCCCCTCGGGGGGGCCCCCCGAGGGGGAGGAGGGCCCGCAAGCACGCTTTGTAGCGGGTGTATCACCTGCCCAGTTCGCCGATCTGAAGGAGCTTTTGTTGAAGAACGTCGCACTGAACTCGAGGGCTGCAGGCCGTCGTCTGCAGGTGCACTTAGCCTTGATGGGGATAGAGCCTTCTTCTGGAGGATCTTTGGAGTCTCCCGACGAGCACACTGACACTGAGGAGGAAGAGGACTCCCTGAACGCCTCCCCAGCCGTGCGAAGCCGCCAGCAAGAAAAAGGCTCCATTCAGAGCTCCCGCGTTATGCGGGGAGGAGGCGTCTACTCGCTGGAGGGCGAGGACTGGACAGTGCTCTCAGAGAAGGAAACGGAAGAGAACTACTTTCACATTCCAGCGCTCCAAGCAGCTGCACGGTTCAGTTCTCTCAGGGGCCCCTCGCTGCCGGGGGGCCGCGGGGGGCCCCTGCTAGGGATGAGCGGGCTGCCAGGCGCCTCCATGCACATTCAGAATCTGAATCAACTGCTGGTCAATCCGGGAATCTACAAGAGGGGCCTGTTGCAGTGGAATGTGTACACAGGGGCGGACAAAGACGACGCATTTCGTTCCACCGAGTTGTGGAGCTCCTCCGCAGCCGGAGCGGAAGATGTGGCAGAGAGGCCTCGAGTTGACTACCGTTTGGCCATCAATTTCGAGCACAAAATCGAAGTGAAGGAGCTGCAAAAATCACTAATGCAGGCGGGGGGGGCCCCCCAAGGTCGCGGGGCCAGTGCCGGATATGGCGGCTCTGTGGGCTCTGCAGAGCCGCAGTTGCGACGCCAGCGGCATCGGCAGAGCCTCGTCCACAGGAGTGGTTTGCGAATCGATTTGACGCGGGTTCAGCAGCAGGCGAAAGCCTCTTGGAGTCAGCACACGGCAGGGAGGAGGGACCTGCAGGGCAGGTGGACGTACGAAGTGGAAATAGAGCTGCATCCAATGCAGATTGCCAAGGTAAGATGCGTTTGCGAAGGAGGAAAGGGGAGGAGAGGGGAGAAGGGGGGAGCTGCACACGGCGGACGGGTCAGTCTCCTTTAGTGTATTCGGAAGGACATGAATAAATACCAACGGATAGGCAGAAAAAAACCGAGAGACTAAGGCTTTGGCGGCCGTAGAGAGGCCTAGAGAAGACCTCAGAGGTTACGTAGCTGTGTGGCTTGAACGGTAGCGTTGTTTGCTTCTTGTGTTCGTCTTTAGGCTATTCTCCATAAACAGAAGACAGGCGATCCGCGTCCGTTGTGGTGTCTGTGTGCCACCTTTCTTTCCCTGCTGCGCGAGTTGGCTGCTCCCTTGAACTCTCCTTTGGGAGTTAAGGGGGGGCCCACGAAGGACGTGTCTAGGCTCACCAACGGTGTTGCATTGGCGGAGGGGGAATGGGCAGATCTTGGTGACGTGCAGCTAACCGAAGCAGAAGGCTCGGCTTTCAAGCACTTTTTATCTGACAGGCTCCCCCTCATTGGAGATTATGCATACCGGGCAGTAGCGCAGAGCATGAAGGCAAAGAGTGCGGACGGGACTGAGGTTGCGCCCTCTCTATGCGAATTTCTGAAAAATCCAGAAGTTGAGCAAAAGTGTCTCTACACCCACAACAAAACACAAATTCCGGGACCGTGGATCCCCCATAGAGATGCTGACGGCAGAGTCCATCTGGTGGAGCTGCAGCGCTGAACATTGCGGGAAGCTCCAATTGTTGGAACCTTCTATGGAAGTACACGCCGACGTAGTAAATGGGTCTCAAATCTTAAATTCATCATCGGCTATACTGGATGTACACCGCGAACGTTAAAACGTAATATGATTGGGGCTAGCATATCCAAAGATGTGGATTCTAATACAAGAGACTGTGGCAGAGCAAAAAGCCCACAATCTGGACAAGCGTAGCGCTTGCACAACAATAGCCCTATATTAGCTTCCTGAAGGTGTCCGCAGGGAGAAATTTTTAGCCCTAAATTTAAAAAGAAATCCTTCTGGAGAGTTTCGCGTTCAGATTGCTCCCCTCTTCATGCTATCACCCTTACGGCTCTGGCAGAATAGGAGAGTACCAGCTAGGGTGCGCGTTGCTGCACCCTTCAAGCACACCAGGCATTCACTGCTAGTTGTACATATCGATATACACAGTGCACACCGAGACAGTATTGATTCGTATCATGGCGAACTAATGCTCCTCTACGACCAAAACGTTATATGAACAGCCAAGCCACTTTGAGAAGTCTTATTTTATTTTGAAGCATAAGTACTGTAGTTGAAAATGCCTGAATGCAGCTTGGCTCGGTAGAAGGCCAGTCCCCCAGCTCTACGTAGAAGATTGCCTCCACAGCGAGCTGTATGCTTCTGACTAAAGGAGGCTAAGCGTGTGACACGTGACCCAGAGAGCGGGTCTCAGATCGGGTTACAAAATAATATTGAAATCCGAGCTTGGCTTTTCTGTGCGAACTAGGTAGATATAGGGTGTGCGTACCAATATTCGGCGCAACCCTCCAGTTGACAATTAGAAAAATCGATAGGCACTTCGACAGTCCGCCCCTTTTCGCTGTGCTTTTTAAAACTGCATCTTCAACCCTGGCGCTACTGCCTTTTCCTGCAAGGGCCTCTGCCTTTGTTAATTCAGAGGCCTGAGTGCGAATAATTACAATATGGAATCACCGACCACAGGGCTGTGGAACACAAGAAGCAAGTTTTACATGGGATGTCAGGTTGCTTTTGCATCCAGCCTTCTCACGGCCGGAGGCATGCAATCTGAATAGCTGCATAAGCTTCATTTGCCTCATTGGTGTAGTATTGCTGCGTATAGGCAATGACAGAGAAGAATTTGAATGCAGCTGTGACGGCTACAATATCGAGTTGAATTTTCAAGCTGAAATAGCTAAAATATACAGTTAGATCAGCGCCTTTTTAGTGCTGTGTAACATTCTAGCCCTTCATATTCTGCAGCATGGGTTGTTTTATCATCTATCTCGCGGGTCGTCGCAAGCCACCAGCATACTGTTGATGCGCAAAAACTCAGCTTCATGCTTGTCCCTTATTGGCTTCTCCTGGCCACTTAGCCGCATATCGCACAAACACAGCAATACCTGAGTATGAAAGGATAATAAACGCGCAGATTGGTTATAACTGTCCCTATTGGTTGCCGTTTTGCTACATTTCTGGTGTCCCCTTGCAGTCAAACGACCTTGCTCTGTTTCCTCATCTGATCCCTGAATCATTAGTAACCTTTATTGATATGCACGCCTCGCCTCTATGTGTCGTATCACTAATAAAAGGGAGCATGGCAATCAAACTATCGGAGCCACTAATATGACGATTCTCATGAGCACCTCCATCACAGCCTACTAGTGTATGACCCTCACAACGCCCCTCAAAAACCCACTGATGTAGATGTAGCTGTTATCTATGGAAAATGAAGGGTGGCGTCTTGCAGAAACTTTAGAGCCTCCAATTCGTCTTGTCTTTATGAAGTGCGAGGAAAGCTGTAGTAGCTCGTGGCGTTTTCTGGTAGAGGAGTGAAATGACTAAAATGATGTCCACTAAGAGCAAGTGAATAATAATTGCAAGTATACACCTGCATTTGATATCTGAATGCCAGTGCAGAAGCAAAAATATATGCACAGTGCTGCCCTTCTAAACTCAAAACAGCAAGCAGACCTCATGAATTCATAAATCAGTATGATTAACTAACCAGCTTTTTGAACATGCCATTTGTGCAGGCACTCACAGATATGAATATGGATATTTCTGTTTGTTTTGTGAACACACTTTGCAGTTACCAGCCCTAAAGCAGCAGATAGTCCTACAGACAGAGTTTCTTCCCACGAGGGTCGGCGTAAACTTTCGGACTTGAGCCCAGATCCCCCTGTTTCATTTTTCCGTCGTTGACGAATAATGATAGGCAACTTTTAAGCCGGATAGAAGTGCTCAAGTCGTCATCTGTCTTATACAACAATGTAGGCCCAGACAGTCAGGCTGATGAGGGGAAGAAGCAAGGTGTCCAGGAAGGTTTTCTAGGCTTCACTTTTTCTCCGCCGAAGTGTTGATCCATTTTGCATGCTTTTACGTTATGTTGTGCATGCACAGCGCCGTTCCTATGCGTTTAGACTCGTTAATCTTTTGGAGTCGGCCAATAATACCGGTGCATCTATGCTTACATGTGTTACCCCAGCATATGTTGCCACCATGCCAAGTTTTCCTTGTTTTCTTTCTGTCCTTCATCCGTCTGGTCTTGCCCTTCACTTCCAAACCACAGATCCGGTACATCATCATTCCCCTCCTGATCGAAAAGACAACAGTGAAACGGTGACTTATTTAGCACACAATTACTTAACATCTTAGGAGTAATATTTGCGTACGACTTCGGGTTCAGCATCTCGAGGCTCCGCTTTATTTGGCTCCGCTGAATACACGGCAAGCTGTGTCGGTTGGAGATCTTCAAACGCATCTTTAGGGTCTGTCTGTTGTGTCTGCTGCTGCATCTTTCGTAAGCGTCTAGGAGTCGAAAGTGTTGGGGCATTCCGTGAAAAAAAGGAAGTGCTATCTTCAATTACTTCTGCGTGACCCTACATCAGCTCATTTTACTGGAGTAACTAAATAGTAGATGCAACAGAGGACTCATACCTCTGGATTTGGCGTGTGTGCTTCACTTGTGCTTGGGCTAATGCGCCTTAATAACTCTTGCCCTACTTTCTTTATACCTCCCACACTGTCGTCTTCTTGGTTTGTGGCTAGCTCCTTTGCTGCAGGCTGCAGTTCCTCCTCTTCTGTTTCTCGTAAGCTGGTAAGGACTTTGGCTTCAACTTCTCCAATAGAGTCCGTAACCACTGGTTCTTCATTTTCCTCTGCTGACTCTACAATCCCGTCTAGCTTTTCTGTTCCTTCATTCGCAAGGTGGCGCACTATTCCTGCAACCCGTTCGGCTTGGTGCTTCTTAATATTGGCCTTTTCCTTCTCGGCCTGCTCATCAGCTTTTTCGACGCGCTCTGCTGCTTCTGCAGAGGTCAATGAACCGTTGGCTTCTGAAATCACCGCATCCAGATGAGCCTCTGCATCCTTCTCATCGGCCTTAGTCGCTCCAACTTCTGCTTCTAAAACAGATAGTTCTTCCTCAAGTGTGTCACTTAGCTTTTTCTCCTCGGCCACTAAGGATTTGGCGAGCTGCTCCTCATGCTTCACCAAATCTTCCTCCTCGCTGATCCTCTGTTGGGCAAACTCCTCTTCTCTCTCCTCTGCTCTCTTGTCTGCCGCTCGAATTTGCGAAAGCTCCTTCTCAGCCACTGCTTCTGCCTGATGGAAGCTATAGGAGGTTACATGCGGTCAAAGTGAATACTCGGTACCTTCTGAGCCACAGATATATCTGTATTCTCCTTTTCTTCTAACATATTTTCTGCCGCAGCACGGTCTGCCAACCCTCCCAGCGCCTCAGTACTTGTCGCCTTCATTGCTGCCTCATGGACACTTCCGCCCCGCTGGATAGTGCTGCGGAGCGCCTTGCCTGAGTTGCGATGTTTTTCATGTTCCGATTCTAATGTGCTTATTTTTTACCTAGTTCTTTCGTTGTTGCTCCCTAATGGGCAAATGGCAGAAGTATTGAAGCTGGCAGACTCCAAAGTTTGTATTTGACCTCACCCTGGTTCGTGACACATGTTCCAAAACGTTGCAACATTTTGGTGAAGGACAACGTTTATGAACGACGATCATCTCGTTCTGGGGAGCCCCTATTTCACGTTCCAATCTGTCGCTTGAATATGACAGAGCTTGCGAGTTTGTTGAGACGCAGGCTATTGACCAAATCAGAAGCAGTGTCCGAAGTGGATGACGGCTGATGTGCTTCCGTCTCCCATGTTTCCAATTCAAACAAGCGGAACGCTTTTGGTTCACGGAGTCAAGTCCCCTGATGGGGCAATGCTGGCGCCAACATTGCGTCTGCTGCAAATTAAAATGCATTATGGGGCCATTCGAAGAAGCAGGGATCTATGATGGTGCAAGTGAGGGTTGTTGCCATCATGGCTACATGAGTCAAAAATAGTTCCGTCTATACACCGCAATCGCAAGAGGCAGCATTTTCGGGCATGTTTGCTGTGCTACGTATCGCAAGACTTCAATAACTATTATTATAATTCTGAAGACATTGCGTTTCCAGTTTGGAATGCTGCCCACATCGTGCTCAATCATCTTTCCTGTGCTATCCTTAGTGATGCACCTAAGCTCTTTTAACCAGCTACCAGTCGGCGATAGTTTCTGTGAATAAAAGGTCTCATCATGACAAGGGATTATTTTTTGTCCACTACACGGTTTCAGTCTTTTTGAAAGAGCCATCGATCAATACGGACTGGGTCTGCACATCTGCACACCCCTCTCCTCGACAAAGTTTAGGCTGTAAGTGCGCCTTGTATGGCTTTGTCACGAGCCAATTACACTGACAAGCGATTAATGCCCGAAGTCTAATCTTCTGTCGGCCGTTGAGTCTTCTTTTTGCACGATGGGAGTGTGTTGCTAAAATGTATCTTATTTAGGAATTAAGGCATCCGAATCGCTCTAAACTGAAGCATCATATCAGAAAAGGTCAAATTCCAATTCGCTTGATAGTTTCAGGACCTAGTATGCAAGAAGAATCGTGAATGGGGAGGTGTCGATTGGTAGCAACACGCTGTGGTCAAAATTGCAGCGAATTGCACCAGGGATGTGAAGTGATGTTGCTAAATTAATTATTTGCAGATTTAGACACTTCGGAATTAGGGGGCCTAGGATTATGTGTGACATTGTGGGGGCGGAGGGTTCTGTAAGCACTTCAGCTGAATGACGACGCGTATAAAGCACGTACGAAACTGCTCGTTACTTATCAGCGTCACCCTATATGTACGCTTCCCTCCATGAACTTGCTGTACGCGCACATCCTGATTTGTTTCCAGTTCCCGGTGGTTGAAACACTACGAAAAGGGAATCAAGTTGCAGAAACCAGCTTGCCCTGTTACTTTGCCGAAGACACTGAGGACTTAATTTCGGCACGTACACAGAATAGATTTTACTCTTCGTCCTCTATAGTGCAGAGTGGTAGGCCTCCTTAGCACAGTTGGTAGTGCGTTTGATTCGTAATCAAAAGGTCGTGGGTTCGATTCCCACAGGGGGCTCTCTTCTTCAGCCTCCCGCATTAAGACGTCCAGAAGGCTACTAGGAGTGAAGTGCTGTTGTTTGCTCCCTTTAAGCCGTTGTAAATGTTCCTGCTGGATTTTTTCTATTTGCTCTAGTCTTTGAAACCGCTGCTGGACTTGCCCTGACTTCCTACCAACGCCAGGCACCTACTAACTTGTGTTGTCCACTCACAGCAGGTAGCTGAATCTGGGGGAAAGGAGCGTGCAGCCATATTAATTAACTACTATTTGATGCATTGATCATTCAACCTGGCCCTCAAGTGGCATGCGAGAATCTTTGCTGCCTTCTTCACTTCAAAGAACTTCTCGTCTGTAATGTACTCGGTAGCAATAGCCATCAGATCCATGAGTCCTTGAGGGTCTAGTGGCGATAGCACGACCCCCCGTACTAATGGTATATTGAACCTAGTGAGGAAGAATCACAACAACAGGATGTAAACCCTATCTATATTTCACTGTATGCAGGAAAAAACCCGGACATGGTCCATCATGTGTTGTCGTACTGCTTGCAGATCTCCATATGAATACCACAATTTTCCAAGGCTCGACTCACCTAAAATAAACATCAAGTCGATCAGCAAGCCAGTGCAAAGTCTCTCTGTGAGTACATGTCGTAGCAGCTGTAAGGCTCTCAGTTGCAAAAGGTTCCTACAAAAAAACGCATCAGTATGCCACAGTCAAAAACAAATCAACATGTTCATATCAAAATTAGCCCCTCCCATCACTTTTCTCTTTGCCCGGGTTTCGTTGGAATTAGGCTGAAATACTCTAACGCGCTAAAGTCAATACCAATAAACTAGTACTGGGGCTGAAAAGCTTGCTGGGCATTCTTCATTAGGCTAATACCACAACCTTGAGGGGTACAACTGTGAAATCCTCTTTACTGAAAATACCATAGCCTCCTGGCGAGTCGACGGGAATCCAAAGCACTCGCGAGCACCAAATGAGGCAACAAGCTGTAAGTCCGACTGTGACACATTGTCCGCATCAAATGACAATTTGTCCTCTCATGTAGTGCCTTCTTTGGTGTATATGTATATAATAGATCATATGCAGCAGCCCCAATCAGCTCCTTGTGGCCTGTATGATCACCAGGCACGACTCCAGTGGACAGGAAGGCTGACTTACCTGTATGAAGCTTCGCAACGGTTTGTGTACAAGGCGTGAGCATTCATCGAGCCCAACAAGCGTTGGGTTGGCTGCAAGGGCGCCTGCAGTCGTAGCCCCCGTGAGTTTGATAGAGGGCTCAACTGAGAACCCCATACTCTTAAAGTCTTCAGGCCGAATAGCCCTGCAACAAGCGTATCACCCGTCTCGGTATACGGTGTTTATTCGGCTTTGCTCCCCTATGAAGTCTCTTAGCTAGAAGAGAGTGGAGTATAGGGTTTTGCACTATCTGATCTGCTAACAGCGACGTATGACAGCACAGACAAGTACAATAAAGGATACTGAATACATGCGTACGTTGCCCCCTTTAGAAAAGCTTGCCTACCTCAGTGTGCCCGGGGAAGCAATTGTCGCCCAGGCAGCCACCCACAGAGGACATCGGCTGGTGCCGCGATGTGAACGGACATGGTTCGCTGCAACAGTAATACAGAAAAAGACGTGTACAAGGGCTCTCATATTGCCCCACATGTGATACATCAAACGGATGCAGCACACCTCTGAGACTGCTAAGGATTACTTCAAAATGACGTAGCAACAGCTGGCACACTGCTCTCCTGACTATGCCCATGATGTACCCCTATACAGCGCCTCGCAAATACAAGCATGCTTCTGTAGTGAAAATACACTTTAAATCAGCAGAACTGTACGGCTACGTGCATACACTGCTACCTCGCTAAGGTTGCTACAATGGCCAAGCAATTTCCATTCAAGTCTATATGTGGATTATATACTTAGCATGAGTCGAGCCATATTTGTTTAGAGTTGCCACTAAGCACGAACAAAGTGGCCTTTGGCTTACGTGGGTATGCGTGTTCAAAAGTACGCAATGCAAAAGGCTGAGGAGGAGACTGAGCGGCATCGCTGCAGGTGATAATCCTGTGGCACCGAGAGGACAAACCCTTTTACAAGCTAACGCTGGACACGTTACTAATATGGATATGTGTCCTTCAACGCATGCATACATGCACGAATAGGCGTGTAAGCAAGCAAATATGTTCGAAACGGCGTCTTTCGCATCGCGTTCGTCATGTGCAGAACATACAAAGAACAACACTGACGCTCTGTGTACGCATGTGCAGGTATGTGTCGATTAAGTGGCTTTTTGCATCCATGATGGGGAAACGAAAATTCGTGTTATTCTGCAAGTACAGATATGCATGCATCTACAGTAAACCTGATACCGGGACACAGTTGCAGACACTTTAATGTGACAACAGCCCCTAGCCCTTCGCAGTCTGGGAGGGCAACGAGTAGCAGGCAAACACCGATGATGGATTTTACAAAAGAGAGATCAATATAAACGACTTCCGTCCATTTGCCCTCTTGGTGAAAAGTCACCATGCCCTTGATTGGTCTCCACTCACCCTAAAGGCGCTTTGAGGGTATTAAGAAATTGCCAACCAAACTTATCTACAAGTTCGCTGCGCAAGGTCGTGGGGTGTATACCTGGATAAAACAAAGATACACCAGACAGCCGCGTGTAGCGACTTTCATAGCAATAGAGACCCTTTGCCAGCTCCAAAAGAGGCAAAACTTACCCAAGGCAGATGGTGGGGGGAAAGGAAAGCAGTGGGATGCACAAAGCGGAGAAAACACCTAAATGAAGGGAACAAGACGGAGGAAGAAACGCGCAGAGAAAAAGCACCGGTAGTCGTCTGAAGCCTACCAGAGATTATTTGAATAAAGAAAGACTCTCTCCAATCTGAAGAGAGTTGCTTGGGGCTTTTCCCGCAAATGCCAGCCCATTCCTTGAGCAAGCGACTCAGCGTGATTCCCCTGAGCAAAGCCAGTGCCAGAAGCCCTCCTGCAAAAAAGCGAGCAGCATATGCCCATCCCATTCGCACACAGCTAACTAACCGAGTAGCCGAAATGTAGAGCCTTAGAGCGTACAGATACAGTCCAGAACTGCACCGTCTATGAGCATATCTTAGGAATTTACTTCATAGGCTTGACAGCGGGGCGAACAATGCATTTTTGAGTTCATCATTTACGTTGTCAGAGCTTGTGGACAGTGGTTGGTGGCATGTAAATTATACTTACCCGTACCGGTCCCGACTATAAGGTCGAAGCAGGCTGCCACATTGAGACGCGTGTCGCCTAACAAAAAGCGTACTTCCTTTTCGAGCTGGCGCAACATCACCAGCTGCCCCACAGCTCCGTAGAGACCAGCGCCATCAAGAGACAAGATGCACTTCCTGAGGGAAACCGCAACATTCTTTGTGTAACGCACTTCACATTTGGGGGAACCAGCGATTGTGTATTCATCATGAACGAAGGAAGAATCTGGTGATGCCCAATAAATTAGCCCGCACATGCATACATCCACATGAACGCACACAGCACCTAGGCCAGGTAGGCTTCGATCCTTTTCTCCCGTATAGAGTGTGTGCAAGATGCGCAGAATGAGGGAACAAGCAAGGCGGACAGGCAAGAAAAGAAAAAGCAGCAGAACTCTCGCGTACGGAAAAGCCGTGCGAATGCTAACATCAGCTATTCCGATGTGCACGAACCTGCCTGTAGCGATGTACAGTGTGGGTGGGGCTTGATAGAGAGGTGGAGGGATTCCGCAATAGACAAGTTCTATGCTTCCAAGAAGAGACATCCCCAGGGACATGCTAGCGCGGACATCAATCAACAGGTGGCTCCCTGAGGTCCACAAAAGTAGCCAGCTTTCAGAAGAAGCCATATCCCAACAAACCCTAGATAGGTAACCCCTTCCCCACAAGCCTCCTCGCAGCCTGAAACGAGCCCTGCTGCCCCATGGATTGTATCGACTACTAGTGTCCTAGAGTCCAGAGCCAAACCAATGTGCTGAACCCCCCAGTAACACTCGGCACAGCTGTGCTGAACGCCACGTAGCTCAGTGTGATCGCAGTATTATGACAGCCGCATGGTGAGAATGGCCGAAGGGCTCTCTGAAACCTGCTTTCTCACCGGGGAAGGGGGCGAACATGAAGGAAAATTTACGTTTTCTTGCCCTCACGGAAACAACGTTACTGGGGAGGAACTTTACAAGCTGCTGCTGCTCGCCAAGGGGTAGACAGTACTCCTCTCCAGAGTCTGTGTAGTGCCCTTCCGCCTCGTAAAATAGCACATCCTCTCGCAGCTCTCCCAGTTCCTCCTCATGGGTGCCCCAGGGCAAGTGAGATGGACCTCCAAAAAGCTCCCCCCATTCGCTGCCCGTGGCCATCTGCAAGATACGGGACTGCAGTGACAGCAGAGTAAGAGCCTGGATACTGATCTTTCCGTCGGTAAGGCACTGTACCTCTGTGCACGCTGCTCGGCCAGTACTCAACGCCTCATCCCTCGGCTCCTGGTCCGTAACGCTGTCTCTCTTCTGATTTGCCACAGTGCTAGTATCTGCCCCTGGCATACTCGGCTTGGTGCCATCCGAGCGCTCTTCGTGATAGCCCGCTGTGTCAGGCTCTTCCCTACTTTGAGAGACACTTTTGTCTTTCAGCTGCTCCCCGCCGGGGTCGTCGGTTGACGCCATAGTCTGCCCTGACTGCCGGCCTTTCTCTGCCACTGAGAGTGGGGAGAGGCCTTCTGTTCCACCTCCGTGCGAGAGTTTCTCTGATGCCTCAGCAGAGGGCTTATAAGGCCGTCCCTCGGACCGTAACTTGCTCATCTGATTCTGAATACTGGGCTCCCCCGCGGCCCCTACCTGACAAGTCTCCTCAAGGCTTTTAGTGCGATTAAGGCCGTCTTTATTGTGACCACCTGTGCATGGTAGGGCTGCCAAAGTAAGCACGGTTTTGGAACTATTTTCAGAGCTTCCGGTAAATAGGCCCTCAACGGAAATGCCTTCGACCGCCTGCTCAGCCCTTGTGAGCTGCTCTGAATTTTGGTTGCGCACATGCACCTTTGTCTCCGAAGGGGCACCTTGGTTCTCCACTCGTTCGGGCTCCCACTCCCCCAGTATTCCCTTTCCCTCGGATGTGGTGTCAGACCCCAACTCCTGAACAGCTGGTAGAAGCTCCAATTCCCTTACTTTTTGCTTGCCTGAAAGTGTTTCCTTCGAGCCCAAACGGGAGGAGGATAACCTCTTTGAAGTGCTCTTTGTTAATGACTTCCCCTCGCTGGAAGCTGAACGTATGTCGCTTAGGACCTCAGGGGGGAGCGAGTTGGGAGTCTCTTCTAGCTTCCAGCAAGTAGATAATGATGATCCTGTGGGTTTGCGGGAGCCTTGAAATTTGCCACTGACAGTGCCAAAGGAGGTTTCGTTCACGAGGCTTTTGGTGCCTGCCCCAGCCTTGTTACTAACCAGCTGCATTATGCCAGACAGGGAAGGATAAAGAGCAGTTCCTCCAGAGGCAGTCCACGTGAAAGCCTCTGCCGGCGATTCAGTAGGCGGTTCCAAGTGGTACTCGCACTCCAAATGCATTCTGGTGATTCCCAGGAAGAAAGCATCCCATAGAGGCTGTATATAGCCATCCCAAAGGAAACAGCAACAAGATAGATATCAAAAGAAGCATCAAATAGTGGAGAGCTTCAAAGATTATGTGAATATGCGCGCTGGACAGCAACAGACCAAGTATCACCTACTGATGATTGGGGCACTACAACCGTAGGCAATGCGGGTTTAGAAACGTCGTCTACTACAGCATATGACCAAAAGGCGTCTTTTCAAGGGCCTTTTTAAGGATATCCTCACTTCGGTCTTGTTGGAAATTGAGAGTGCATAGTATCCCGGCTGAGTGAGGGTCACATCATAGCGGCTCGAATAGACCTGCAAACGGTGCGCGCACCGCATTTTGCTGTCCGCCTCTGTGTGAGGAAATCATGTAGCTGCTTAACGGGCAAGTATACACTGCAAGCATTGCTAAAGTGCGCATGAACAGTGACCTTCAGGGTCTGTACCAGGTGAAGAAAAGCGAGAAAACTCCGAACTTCTTGGCAGCGAAATGTATCATGAAGAAACTGAGGCTGCTGGTGAGCTGGCAAAATTATTTACGGCACACCCAACTGAAAACCCGAGGCTGGTAGCCTGCTACCTTTAGCAGAAACACTAAGCCCTTTTCTGCTACAGGGGAAGTCTTACCAAGCCATCTCGCAAGGTGATCTCCTTGGGATCGCATTCTGTCGGAAAAACGATTCTTGTGGGGTCCACGTTAGTCCCATCAGGTCGGCAGCAGTTCATTATCGCTGCAAAGTGGGAAGGTGGACTAGTCGAAGGCCTCGTAGTCTCTGCATGCCTCGAAGCATATGCAGTAACGACATCGGCGAGATAAGAAGGGCTCAGGCTCAAGCCACACACCCGCTTACTGCCGGGTGTATTGCAGCGGCAAGCACGCGATGTTCCGAAGTCCACATGCTAAGTCTGTTTGCCTCGTATCTCTGCTTTCCAGGGCTATACCCGTAACTCCCCGCCGCGCACTCCCCGATGCAAGCGCACTCCCCGGTGCAATAGACACGCGTGTGCGGCCTCATGGGGGCGACTCAGGGTGAGCTTACGAAGCAAAAATGTAAAGTAGAAGGCTTTCTTGTAATTTTGGCAAGGTGAATGTCGCTCTTTTTCTGAAAGCCCAGGTGACCTCGGAGGAATGGGGAAATCGAAGACCAGGCTCCTGACGGCACTGTTTGCCAAGAACTTGAATACCAACAGGGATGCTTACTTATGAGGATTAAGGGTTCGAGAGATGGATGATTCAGCGTTCCTTGCAGAAAATTACCGAAAGCAAAGCACACCGGAGACTCTCAGCAGATCTGTAACCAGCGACCGCTGGTCTCCAGTACCGACCATTGGCGGACGGGCTTGCATTCTATTCCCCTTCAATGCGGGCTACACACATGAAATGGGTCAAGGAAACAGTATAAATACCTTTGTAAGACCCCTCATCGTGTATTGTCTGTATAGCAAGCAGCTACTCCCCCTGAAGGCGGACCAGCAGCTTCGTGCTCACGAATGAAGCCCTCCATCTGTGCGTCCAGTCCTAAGAGAGCTTAGTGTTACAAAGCTTATTTGCCTTTGCTTCATTCCACTAAAGTGGGATCAGATTCAGGATTGCCGTTAACGTTCAGGAGACTCCCTGGGTTCGGTGCTCTTAGGTTCAATCTAGCGCTCCTTGTCAAAGAAGTGCACCTGGAAGTCGAGAGGAAGCCAGATAATACTTTCCTGCTTCATTCTGTTATTGTAATATACTGGACCAAAATCTTGAAAGCGCCAAACCGACAGCAAGACACTATCGCACTGCCATAACAACTCCGTGGCAAGTGGTGTCTATCGCACGACAGCCCCCCGCACGAAATATCCCTTGTGTTTTACACTCGCACTGAAAACAAGACACCCGCACTACTCAGCCTTCATTGCACTCACACCTTCAGTGACTACAGGTCCGACAGGCAATACCACACTCTCCCTGCTTCCTAGCCCTCCATCAAGTCAACCCAGAAATGCGACCTCACACAACAAAGAGGCCTTTGTGTCTGAGCTGGTGCATATTCAACAATTTTCCCGGCAAAACTAAAAGCCGCGTACGTCACGAAGCCGAATGTTAAGTGGCCATATGGCCCTGAAATCTGGCGCGAGACTGGAATCCTGAACCCCATATCTTAATGGTTCTTGATACCAGCCTCCCGGGGAAGTACAAGGAAGCTAAGATGGGCTGGAGAACACTGGTTGTGCGGCATCTTGCACATCCCTTTCCGTGAACGAGACCTCTTACGAAGGCTTCTGTCCATGGAGGTTAAATATGCTAACAGTACCCAGAGAGAGGAAGGTACAAGCTTAGATTATTCCTACGGATTCAGTAGGGCGCACGAGCCAAGCACTCTATAGAAACTGAGAAGAACTGCAAATGTGAGAAAACAGATAAAGAAAAGCCGCGACTAGGCTGACTTCATAAGGGTGGACAGCGCGAAGACCGTCCGTGTGCTACTCGAGAATAAAAGGCTAAAGGGAATTGTTCAGGGGGGGCCCTCTGGAAGCCTTGCGCGCTGATTCAAAAAGCAGCACGGCCGCTATCCCCTAAAGCCCAAGTACTTTCGCAGTATTCTGCAGGGAGAAGAACGCGGCACAAGGGGAAGAAGCTTCGTACTGACGTGACTGTGTGGGCTCCTTCCAGCCACCCGTCCGCCTCTCCATTCAGCTCCACATCGACGGATTCGAATAGCTGCCATACCCTTGTCTCCCTTGATTGCTGTAATTTTGGTTCTGTTGCTGGTACGACGTTTGGTAAAAGTTGCTGGCAAGCCCGGGGGGCTGTGGGTACTGGCTATACGCGTTGTAGTTGTAGTATCCCCCTGCAGCTGCTGCAACTGCCGCCTGCTGCTGGTGCTGCTGCTGCTGCTGATGCTGATGCTGTTGATCTGCGCCGCTGCTGCTCCCGCCTCGGTGGTAAGTGCTGCCACTGAACGCAACATGCAAAAAGGCACCCGAGCCGTCGAAAGGCGAGAAAGCGGGGACTCATCAGGGCTGGTAGACGACGCATGCAACACGATAGGGCTCAAGGGTGTTACCAAAAACAGCAAGCTGCAGCTAGGAAGTATACCGCCAGACAAACGTCTGCGAGGAAGGCAGGGGGCCCACGCAGAAAACGTCGGGCATGCGGGAAGGGGGCAAGAGGCGAGAAACGGAGGCGAGGAAATGCGAAGAAAGACAGCGCTACACGCCGATAAGAAGTGTGCGCTATTGCGCTAAACGCAGCTTACAACTGTTGCTGCTGCTTGAAACTGGCATTCTTGCCATACTGGCTCTGCATCACCGAAGTGCTGCCCAGCTGACCCTGCTGCGGCTGTTGCTGCTGCTGTTGCTGCTGCTGCTCCCCCCTGGTACCCAAGGGGCCCCCCGCCGTGCTGTTGCTGCTCGCCGGGGCCCCCACCCCGCTGCTGCTGCTACTGTAGTAATACTGCGAACTCGCTGCACCGGCATTCGCAGGGGGAGTTCCCACCTGAGGAGGCAGAGAAGACACAGCAGTCGAGTCCAGCAGCTCGCACCGATTCACGAAAGCCCCATGATGGCAATGCAATCCATCCCGAGCACTCTAGGCACGCAGCCGAGAGCACACAGGTGTGCATGTGCATGTGTGTGTGTGTGTGTGCATCTGTGTGCATGTGCATTTGTGCATGTGTGTGCATGTGCATGCATGTGCATGTGCATGTGCATCTGTGTGCATATGCATGCATGTGTGCATGTGTGCATGTGCATGTGCAAGAGCATGTGCATGTGCATTTGTGCATCTGTGTGCATATGCATGCATGTGTGCATGTGTGCATGTGCAAGAGCATGTGCATCTGTGTGCATGTGCATTTGTGCATCTGTGTGCATGTGCATTTGTGTCAACTCACCTTCAGCTGTGGGTGCTGGTAGGTGCTCGTCGAGAAGCCTGGAGGGGCAGCAGTGCTGCCTGAAGTTGAGGCTGCAGGGTAGGGAGTGCCTCCTGCAGCCCCCGCCACATGGAGATTGGGGTTGTAGAATGTCGATACACCCTGGCCTGCTGCTGCTGCAGCTGCTGCTGCAGGAGCTGCTGCTGCCGCGTGCTGCTGGGGCCCGCTGACGGCGCCTCCCGCGGCGCCTGCTGCTCCCGTTGCTGCTGCTGCTGCGGGTACGACTCCCGCGGGTGTCTGCGGACTGGCTGCTGCAGCGGGAGCAGCGGCAGCTGGCGCAGCCGCCGCAGCAGCGGCGCCGTACATCTCTGTGGGGCCCCCCGCGCCGGCTGCCGTGGCTGCGGCTCCGTCATCGAACGAATCTTGGTGGGCGTAGGGCTGGTAGTTGTGCATGTACCCCTGGGGCACCCCCCCGGGGCCCCCTTTCGCGCCGTAGGGGCCCCCCATGATGCCGTAATGCGGCAGCTGCAGCGAGCGCAGGCAGCAACACTCTGAGACGCCGCAGGAGACTGGGAAAGCAGCGCGAAGGCGCCTGCGGAGACAGCGGGCGGCGACTCAGCTAGACAGGCTGCGGCGCTTTCAAGGGACGGGCAGGCTTACTAGGTTGCCATGACCATAATACACACTGTTGTACTGAGGATATGTCGTTAGACCGTGGTAGTTGGGGTAGCTGTAGGCTGCTGCAGCTGCTGCTGCTGCAGGCTGCCCCGTGAGGTTGGGAGCAAGCCCCGGGGGGGGGGTGAACGCATGCGAGTTGTTGTACGCTGCTGCTGCTTGCTGCTGCTGCTGCTGCTGCTGTCCTGGGGCGCCCTTGCTGCTGCCGTAGTGCTGCTGCTGCTGCTGCTGTTGCTGCTGTTGCTGTTGCTGTTGCTGCTTGTCGTCGCGCTGCTGCCGCGGCTGATGCCCAGTGCCCTCGAGGGGCCCCCCGGGGGCCCCCCCCCCCGTCGGGGGCGGCGGGGGATGCTGTTTGCCCTGTTGCTGCTGCTGCATGAGGGGTCCGACACTGCGGTTGAAGCCATTGGCTTCCCCCCAGCTTCCGCGGCCAGGTTGCTGCTGCTGCGCGTAGTGCTGCTGCTGTTGCTGCTGCGGCTGCTGGGCGTAGTGGTGGTGTTGCTGCTGCTGTGCGTAGTGGTGTTGCTGCTGCTGCTGTCCACGCCGCTGCTGTTGGCGATCGTGGTGCAGCCGCTGCTCCTGCTGGTGCAGCTGCTGCTGTTGCAGGTGTTGCTGCTGCTGCAGATGGTGCTGGTGTTGCTGCTGCTGCAAATGCTGCTGCTGCCGCTCAACGTCCACGCGGGAGGAGGACGCCTTCTGCTGCTGCCCTGCCTCCGCCGCGTGCTGCTGCTGCTGCTGCTGCAGCTGCTGCAGGTGGTGCTGCTGCTGCTGCTGCGCAGCCTTTCGCTGGGCACCGTCGATTTCGAATATGCGTTCCATCTCTTGCTGCTCTTGCTGCAGGTGCGCCTGCGGCTGCGCATGCTCTTCGGGGAGTTGCTGCTGCTGCAGCTGCTGCTGCTGCAGCTGCTGCTGCTGCAGCTGCTGCTGCTCCGAAACAGCCGACTGCTGAGGCGCCGCGTGGAAAGGCTCAAATGGCGAGGAGACGGAGCCGAAAACGAGGGCTTTAGCAGCTCCGTAAGCGTGAGATCCGCCGAATCTGGCAGGCATAACGACTGGCTCGGGGGGGGAGACGGCCAAAACAGGAGCCGCTGCTGCCACTGCCGTTGCTGCCACTGCTGTTGCTGCTACTGCTGCTGCTGCTGCCTCGTCTTCCCTCTTTCCAAGGAGGACGGAGCCTGCAACTGGAGGCATTGCAGAGGCAGTCACCGTAGGAGACGACGCTTTAGAAGAGGAGGCAGAAACACTTGCTGCCGATCCAGTCGCTGGTGCCGGAGAAGAGCTTCTTGACCTCCCCTGCGCTGCAATAGGACTAACCTCACGTCGTGAGGAAGCGGAAGACGCGCGAGCGGCTGCGCCTGCAGCGGCTGCCCCCCCCGCACGAGGGGGGGGCACTGCCAGCGCCTGTTGCTGCTGGTGCTGCTGCTGCTGCTGTTGCTGCTGCTCTTGACAGCCTGCATCAGGCGATCGTGCTCTTGGAGAAGGCAGACATGGCGTGCGGCGACCTCTGTGCTCTGCGTCGGAAGCCGTCGGCTCCACACTTGACGCTGCTGCCGTTGCTGCTAAGCGCTTCGCAGGGTCCACTGCTGCCTGTGCCGCAGCTTGCTGCTGCTGCTGTTGCTGCGACGGAGACAGTGCTGCTGCTGCTGCTGCTGCTGCTGCTGCTGCTGCTGCAGGCCTCACCAAGCGAGCTGCCCACGTTCTTGGCTGCTGCGCAGCTTCTGTGGCTGCCGCTAGGGGGGGGGGCGTAACAGGTTCTCCAGGAGCAGACGGCACACGTTGGCGCTGCTGCTCCTGCTGCTGCTTGTGCTGCTGCTCCTGCTCCTGCTGCTGCTGCTTGTGCTGCTGCTCCTGCTGCTCCTCGGGCTTCGCAACACCACTCGACGGGGGGTGGTCATCAGAGACTTCTTGCAGATGATCTTGGTCAGACTGGCGCTGCTCCGCTGGTGCTTTTACCTGCTTTCGCTCATCCTGCTCCCTCGCAGCTGCACACACATGACACACAGCAAAGGCGCCGAGGAGAGACCAGTGCAGACAGCAGCTGCTGCACACACAGACATGCGTAGACGTATGCATGTGGCTACGGCTGCGGCAGCCTCGTCTGCACTGGTGCGGCTCTTCAGCCGCTGCAGTCTAGCAGAAGCAACGGCGTACTGGCAGGCTTCCTTGCAGAGTTGCTGCGGCGTCCGACCCCCTGTTGCTGCGGCTTGCGACTCTCGGGTCCCCTGCCCTCTCGCGGCTGTCTCTGGCTTCTCTGTTGCCTCTGGCCTCCTGACTGCTGCTGCTGCTGCTGTTGCTGCGGCTTTTTGCTGCCTCCGACCATCTTCCAGGAGCCCTGTTCATGGCCAGTGCTCTCCTCAATCACGCGTGCAACCTCGCTGTGTATGAGGTCCTCTCTGTGCTGCAGGCGGCGCACCAGCTGCAGCACATCCTGCTTGCTGTAGTTGTAACATTCGAGCACGGGATGCACGGATTCCACCATGCTGGCGGTTCTGGGAGACGCCGAGCGCACGTCATCTGAGGGGAAAGTCAAGTGCATATCCCTCACGAGTGACAAGTGCGAAGCCACGCGAGGATCTGACAAGGACGCAGCGGGGGGTGCTTTTGCGCTTCCTGCTGCTGCCGTGGGCGGTGGCTGCTGCTGCTGAGGCGAAGGGAGGGCGCTTTTAACCTTCCACTGCGCCATGCCGCGAGCTCCCCCCTTTGCGGATGGCCTCTGCTGCTGTTGCCGCTCCTCACGAGTCTTGCTGCCCCACCGGCCGGTGGAGTCTGCGGGGGCCCTCGTCTTTGCGCTGGGGGCCCCTTGGGTGGCCCCTGAGCCGCGTGAGGGAGGCAGGAAAGCTGGTGGAGCTGCAGCGGCGGAAGCCACCGCCGCTGCAGCAGCTGCTGATGTGGTGGTAGGACCACTCGACGAGGCCGCTCCCCCCCTAGCCATTGTAGCCAAACTATCTGAGACAACGCTTGTTTCTTCTTATACAAAGGAGGAGGCAATTGCAACAACGGGTATTCACGGAAAACGCAGCGCGCAATCTTGGGTGGCTCCGCAGATGCGCAGGTAGGGCGCTGCAGCAGGCAGCAGCAGCGGCTGCTGCCTGAGGTGCCCCGCTGCTGCTCTCGCTGCTGCAGCCCCCTGCAGCACACGAAAAGCCCCACCGACGGGAAATATCTTTGAAGAGCAGTTTTCAATAATGTGGTTAGCAGCAGTGGTCGTGAAATCTTTCGGAAAGCTTTGGGCTGTACCCAGACGGACGACCTGCCTCGAGAGGGGGGTGCTCTGCGTGGGCTTCGCCACTGCCCCCCTCGGGCGCTGCTGCTTGTGTTGCGTTTGGTGAGACTGCGCCGAAGAAGCGGAGACCGCAAGAATCTCTGCAGCAGGGGCACTGTCTGCGTGAACTCTGCAGTGCTTTTGCTCGAACGATCCCGTATTCAAGTCTGCCTTGCTGCGCCAGGGGCACGCCAGCGCGGAGGGGTGCTGGGCTGGCTCCGGCGGTACACTGCAACTATATATGTGTCGTCCCCGAGTGTGCCACTGATTATGCAATCATGAGAATAGCCGCTCATCAGACAGTGTACAAAAGAGGCGAAGTCGCCCCGGGCTGATACAGGCAAGGGGATGCGGCGCTGGGCAGTGTGCATACAGGGACGATGGTCAAGCACTGCAGGCACCAATGGATAGCAAAGAAAATAAGCAAACAGACAGGAGCTCGAAAAAACCAAAGCTCTCTGCGCCGGAAAGGCCAAGACACGATGTACATGCGTTTGGGTGCTTCCTTTGCGCGACATGCTTGGAACGGCGTTGGTTGGAACACGTGCAACGGGGTGGGCTGCAGTTGGGCGCCCTCTACTACACCAGTTTTCTCAGTGAACTGACATTTTATGTTGACTCTTCCGCTTATCTTTTGCCATATCTTATTATTGCATACTATAGCTTACTTCTTGCTTCAATACACCCTGTCTGCGAGTGCACTAGGTGCGGTGCAACTAGCCGTAAATGCTCGAAGTATTAAGAGATCGCAACACCGCGCACTCTAGCTGACCCACTTCTTTCTTGGCAAAACCATGAGGCGCAAGGGCTCGATTATTGTAGAATATAATTCAAACAGTACTCGATGCCTTTCCTGTAGGTTCATGTTGAGTCTAAATTCAAGTGCTTTCTGACGGAGACCTAAGGGGGAGTGCTACATTTCGTTGCACTGCGTGGTTCCATGGGCTATCCTCCCGCTCATCCACTGGTTGTGGATGCACTGGTATTTGTATGTCCGTGTAGAGATAAGTTGGTTTCGTTCGAATCGTTCGACGATTGAATTAGGAGCTTCTCCTGCAACAGTCTATACAAAACAGCCTCCGGTGATTGCAGTTGATGGTGACGCAAGGCCTTTCGAGGCGGCAGATGTCGGTGCGCTGGATAATGTAAGCGTAGCCGCTCCACAGCTGGTAAAAAGGCATGATCAGAGAAGATGGGGCCCGTGGAGAAGGGCGCGTATGCGAATGCGTCAGCAGCCGGCTGGGAATACCGGATACACCTCGCGTTGTAGCCCCTAGATGAAGAGAAACCAGTGTTTCTCGCAGCACGTTTCTTAAAGGGGAAAGCACTTCCATTGTGGCTCTTTTCATCCCGCAAAAGTCGGTGACCTGCAGAGATTACTTACTACATATCAAGCTGTACACTTTGTGACTTCTCAGTAATGAAAAGATCAGCTCAAAAGCAAGCTTTAGGAGAGCTATAAAATTCGAGCAGATAGATGTAGCGATTGATCGGCATAAGGATCAAAATGAAAACTCGGTTTCCAGAGGCCACAACGTAGACCACCCACTGCTTCTATCAGTGGTGTACCTTTGGTCCCCTCAAGGTGTCATGTCAGGTGTTGGCAGGATGGACAGCAACTCAGCGATTTAGTTGACGACAGGTGGGGCAGCCACAAATGATGAGATACTTGAAGTGTCAGAAGCGAATGAGCACAACTCCTGCGTCATCGGCTAAAAGAAAGAACAAACTTCGCATTCAGAACTGGTGCACGTCAAGGCCTTTTCAATCAAGTTAAGCTTACATTCAAAAGTAAACAAGGAAAGAAAGCCAGAGGGAACCTGCGGTGAAAAGCAACCCCAGCAAGCCTCCCAACAACGCAGCTGCCTACATGGAGGAAATTGGGTCTGATATCACGGAAGTGCAAGCGCACGGAAAGACCCAATGCATTTGTACATAGCGAACGGGGCCAGCGGAAACAGGCTGCCTCGCAAGCAAAAGGGTGCATTGGGGAGATGGTGAGCCCCCCACGCAGGCTACGGCGCACTGAAAAGAGCTTCAGGGAACAGAACCACACTTGGGGACTTACATTGGTGGGCTAGACTACACTCACCTACCTCCTATTACACATGATATATTTTATTAAGAACATGTCAACAATTGACTAGTTTGTTAGGGTGTTTGTATGTCATACTTATTGCAAAGTAACGTTACATCAATGCAATGCAAATCAATGCTAACGTGTGCTTGATGCGATATGCAGCTAAGGTGTAAGTGATCGAGTGCTGAGAGTGTGCTTCAGCTCACATTCAGAGTTCCTCACCTTCCTTGAAGTCCAAACGCTGAGGGACGAAGGCAAAGAAAGAAGGGATCCATTTAAGAATTACGCTTAATAACTTGTAATAGGTTTGTAGTGAGTCTGGAATTATGTGTCTCGCTACGTGGACCTTACATAAAGCGCCATAACCATTGTGAGCAGACGTTGGGTTAAAGAGCGGACCACCAGCCAGATCACCTTGTGAAGGGAGTTGTCTTTTGGGACTTGCATTCGCCAAGAAACTGACTTTAGTGCTCCTGGAGTGTTTCACGGGCAGGAATAGAGGTCCCTTATGGGATGCTCGAATTCTGTGAGGAACTTTGCGATGCTTTGGAGCCTGGACTCTTGTCAAGTGGTGACTATTTAGATAGTTCCTATCAACTATCGTCAAGCCCTAGCTTGGTTTGCACGAACTAGTGCACCAAGTGTGCATCGATGGCCAACTAGTCTTTAAGTACTAACTTGCATAGAGTTAGACCGTACTCGAGTCGTTCGATTGTTTAGTTCTGAAGGCTCTTCAGGTCGGTGTTGGAGTTTGACTTGCACGAGTACTGAAGCCTGTCTGGTGAGGATGGAAGTAGAAATAAATAAGTCCCTAAGTTGGTTCTGTAGCGCAATTGCATTGACCTAAAAACCAGGAAAATAATTGATTTTTTTTATGCTTTGCAAGGGCTGTTCGGGGGCTTCTGCACAGCAAGCATCGTAGTCAGGGTCGTCACACGCACAGATCCACCGTCGTTAACACCCCTGCTACCTCATCGTCTGTAAGAGGCCTGGAGCACCACGAACACTACCCAGGAAGCATTAATTAAGTGCTTTTGCGAGAGGCCTTGGTCTGTGGGGAAAATGGCTGGAAATACCAGAGCGGTTACTTAGCCTCCAGCTGTGGTGTCTGTTGTGGATCCAGCCCACCCTTAAAGGCCCCTCTTTGATCCCCCGGTTCCTTAAAGCCACCAACTATTTGCATGTTTCCTGGGGTTCCAAGGTTGTATCTAAAAGGGCATATGTAAGAACTCGTTGCACACGAAAGACTGACCCACGGTGTTCAAAACTAAGCTAGGGGGATCTCCTGTATATAACAGTTTGACTAGCGTAGAGTTTGAAACCGGAATAAAAAATATAGTCGGCATTCAGTTCTGCTCAATCGCAGCCACTATACACCTAGATGGTGACCTCTAATGAATATAGTTCACTTACATAACCGCTTGAAAATATATTCTTTTCTGCAGTGTGGTATTGCCTGTTTCACACCAAACTTGAACTGAATTACCTTGCATGTACCGCTCGATTCAGGCACGCGCATTTCAAATAAACGGTCAGCGCGTATGGGCTTGCTTGTTCGTATAGCCTTTCATATTAACGAACTGGCAATGATTTGTCTGCTCTTCTACCGTACCACAGCACGCAAAAGTTAGTAGTTACCGGTTTTAGGCCAACTTTAGCGGTGTTTCGAGGTCCAACGCACAGTCGTAATATTCTCGCTTGGATATATATCGGTAGGTGCAGAACTTTAATACCATCCCACCGAAATAATTAAGAAGTTCGACCACCACCAGATACAACTGGCTTTCAATGTTTTGTGAAGACAAGGCACCAGGCACGCACCCGTCTCCAATATCTAACGCGATGCAAGATTACGGCGTATCTCATCACATTCTCCTACTGCTTACCTTTGCTTGTGAGAAATTCACTCCTTTCGCAGTGGCTGTCGCTCTTGGGGGATAGCTGGTTTCCACTAGATGCTTGGTACGCTTCTGTACACGGCTTTATGCCTTCAAATGGCCACGCTGTATCACAGCAGAGCAGTAGAATACCAACCGAAGCTACTAAGAAACGTCCGTATACAAGGACTCGGGCAAGACAGTTCACAGTCCAGCACGAAGCTGCCAGCATTCGATATCTTGAAAGCCACCAAGCGAGTCCAAGAACCGTAGTCAACTTCGAAGAGAAAAATGTGCTGGTACCTGCCTTGCTTACTTTAACTAATGCCAACACTTCACAACTCTAAATGCTTTGTTTCGTCTAGAACACAAAGATGGTAAGGCTTTATTTGGCCATGTGTATGGAGCCACTGCACTGTGGTTGACCAGGGATTCTAACTGATTCGGCTCAAAACAAATACACACTTTTGAACCAACAAATGGGTCGTGGATTAATCGAGAAGAGGCTTGGTACTGGAACTACTTGATGATTACCCCGCCATTCAGCTTCTGGGGGCGAGGGCGTTTCTCAAATATCCAAGTGAGCATGTCAAAGCAGATTTGGCTAATGGGATATATGCAAGGACAAAATGTAGCCAATCGTTGTGAGAAAAACACTTTCTAGACTACAGCCTTTATACTTCAATAAAACGCATGTCAGCAGAGCGTCGTCCATCAATTTGCCCAGGAAATGCTCCTCAGTTACCCATTTGCTGTGGGCCCCCTTTAGAGCATTTGTGTTGTGACCTAAAGAAATGCATACACATAGGAATAGCCATTTCGGGTCAGCTTACATGATGGGAATTGCTCCTGAAAGTACGAACGCTAACTGTCCAGAAATGTGGGTCATAGGGATTCAAATGGAAGAATTGCCGGTCGTATTTTGAGGAATCTTGACCAGCTAAACCCGCCATGAAACTAGTCATGTGCACAAAGTAGAACTCATGATGCTATGAGTGGCGAACCAAGATGTGGGGGAGGCGTTTGAAGGCAATGGCTCCACATCGATTGTGTCTTCGCTGAACTACGATGACCATCACACGAGGGCCAGCGCGTATCTTTTGGGGTTTTAGAGTGTTTATTAGCTTTATTGCCAGCTACCAAATAGAGTTTCACAGATTTTTTCTCCAAAGTTAAGTTGGTTCCACAGCGAAAAGCCGCTGCATAACAGGATTACTGCATCTAGGGAACTGCATGGGGCTCGCCAATTTCCACAAAGCATAAAGGGTATCCGCTGTCCTATTGAATTCATGCAATTAGCATGCCAGTTGCTAATTCCTCTTGATAGCTTATTTGTCCGCTACTCTTAGACGTGGAAAGCCCCGACTTCAACTTAGTCATGTATGTTCGGAACCTACGCAATAGGCACCAGCCTGCTTGGTGTCAAATTGGCTCACAGAAGACATTTGGGCGCTCAATGGTATATTGGAATATTCTGTAGCGCTTACTTTCTTATATAAATGTCTGCCGTGTTTGTGTAAACATCGATTCACTAGGTCAAGAGTCATGCGATTCGGAACCAAAAAAGTGACCTTGACTGCACATGTCAATCCCACGTGGTTGATGCTAGTAGAATTGTAGCGTGTAACTACTTTTGATTAGTTCCTCGGTGCTTTTGTGTCTTGTCTGCCGGTTCCTTGACCGCACTAAAGCAACTCGTTGACTGAATAGGTTAGCTTTGACCCGTGAAAGTCCAGCCGCTAGTTCAGGCAGTGACTCGTTTTCATCCTTATGTGTCCTGATTAGCCTGCACGCGATTCGGGTCAGGTTCTTCTTTGTTTGGTGGGTCAGATAGCTATTAAAGTAGGAAAGAGCGTGAGAGATGCGGTTTGGTTTTATCGTAGAGAAGAACTTGGCCAACCAATGCGTGCCCTGTCAACTGCAGATACTCACTGCCTAGTATCTGGCAAACATTTTGCTAAAGCTTCGCTGCCTCTGGTGCTTTATCGGTGCAGTGGCTGGCTCTAAATTCCATCGTATTCGCTCCTGCTGTAGACTCTTTACCTACCTAGGGCGTTTTGTTGGGGTTTGCCAGGGCAACCTTGCTAAGTGACCATGGTAATCATACCAAGAATGCGCTCCTACTTACTGTACAATTGAATGATGTTGAATGTCATATCGAAGATTCAGTTCCAGAAACGTATTGTACTGTAGCATTAGTTGTTGAGTTGGCTGGCTGCATACAATTCCACTCCCTCTGGGAGCAATTATCAGCAAAGGTCCTAGCTAATCGTCCAGAGCAATGTAGCCTCAACACTGTCTCTCACGTGTTATGGTATACAACGTAAAAGGGCCAGCTTTTCTGGAGATTACGAAGCACTTTGCGGTCCTCCGAGGATAAACGCATCGCCTTGGAGGATGTCCACACCTGATGTCCAAGTCTATGCTTGTCGAGTCGTGATTGTGCTCTATTGACAAAGGCTACATGTGTCTTTCATGTGCTTACAGCTCTTTATGATGGTGTCCTTTGGTTTGCAGCGCCACGACGAACATCTAAGTTGTCCAGGGATAGTCGTATCCCAGCCTCCTTGAGCATGCAAGAGAGGAAGAAGCAAAGCGCCATCTCTTTCGCAGGAGTCAAGCGCATATATTCTAAAGAGTAGACACAGGTGCATGGGCCATCCGGTGCTGCTTGTATGTTTGCTCTTTTCCCCCTACATCAGGCCAACCGGAATAGATTTTTACTACCTCCGTTTGTCTAAAAATATTCCCCGGCATGTGTAGCAAACAGCAATGCGTGAGCAGCTGGCACCCCATGAGCTCTTCAGAAGAACATTCCCGAGCTTACACCCCCTAGAGGGCAGCCATTAGGCACAGTTGTTGTTCGTGGAAACTTGCCACAGCTCCATGAGTCCAAGCCTTCACCGTACACTGATTTTAGCACTAAGTACGAATGAGAGCTTCTACAGCTTTGTGTAGTCGTGGAGTAGGGAATGAGTTTCCCAGCACCGCCTGCTGCCCTCAGCATGCGTCGGAGAATACAGGGTGCAGCCGAAGCGAAGCCACATCTCAAGGAGACCTTTTTGTGGTACAGAGCTTCAATCAGCTTGGCGCTGCGTAGCGGCGTAGTCTTGATGTGTACTGCTGAGGGACAAGTGTATCAAATCTCGTGTATCGCACTACCCAAGTCGGAAGCCCCTAACCATTTCCTGCGGATTCGGCACGCTATGCTAGCATTCCGTCTGTAGCACTATTACGGGAAGGTGTTTCAGATCTGCCGCGCCTCCCACGCACGAGACTGTGTGTCTGTTTGGTAACGAGGCAACCTTTTACTTCGTGGAAACGGGGGCTCCCACCGGGTCGCTGGGGTGACTTCCATCCATTGCTGGAGTGTGCCGGCTTCTAAGATACTGCTGAGTAGCTTCGGCATCATTTTCTCCGCACTCTTTTAGTTCTTTTGAACCTTTGGTTAGGTGCGTTGTAAGCGGCTGCTACCAGCGAAAGGCACACGTCTTAGGGCTTCACTTCGGGGCCTAGACGTGAGGGAGCCGCTGCCCCACGGGAGCGCTCAAAGGACTGCTGTCGCATCAATATAACGAATTACTCTTTCCTTATTTCGTGCCTCCCTACTTAATCTGACGTTTCTTATTAAACCCGCTGGTAGCCGTCACCGCCGCATGTATATATATGCGCAGCAGCCGTTTCCCATAGTGACCCGTTTTCCCCCCTCTGGGGCCTGTGTGGAAAGCCTCTCATTCAGAACTTTGTCACTCCATTCTGATTGAAGCTGCAGCAGATATAACTCGGCAGCGGCGTGTCTGGTGGCACCTCACGGACCCTTTCCCGAGGTACTCCGGGGTGTCGCTGCATTCACTACCATTGTGCTCTGCTTCCTCCTCTAGGGGCCTCCAACGAGCGTTTGGAGGGGCCCCCTCAGCACCGATTCAGGCGCGGTAATAGTGCAGGTAGGGTAGGGCACAAGGCCTACGCCACAGCGGCCTTCCGCCTCAGTCCGCCGCATGCCGCAATCTGAAGGAGGCGAGCGGCTGCCGGCAGGGGGGAGCGATGCAGCAGCCGCAGCAGAACGAACAGTACTCGAACACGAGTGCAAATGGACAGCCGCTCTGGCAGCAGCAGCCAATGCAGCCGCAGCAAATGCTGCAGCAGCACATGCAGCAGCAGCAGCAAATGCTGCAGCAGCACATGCAGCACCCGTATGGATACTCCTCTGCGACTCCGCACCCCGGGCCGCTGCTGCAAAGTGACCGCTCCCTCACGCTTTTGCAGCAGCAGCACCATGTGCAGCAGCTGCTCCAGCAGCAGCAGCTGCTCCAGCAGCAGCAGCTCCTTCAGCAGCAGCAGCTCCTTCAGCAGCAGCAGCTGCGACAAAGCCGTCCTGCCGCAGTTTCACAGCAGGTGGGGCACCCTCCTTCTCCCCTGGAGCACCGTGTGGAGTATCAAGAGACTGTCTCGGCTTCCCAAGAAGTGGTGAGGCTGCCGCAGCCAGTGCAACACCATCAGCAGCAACAGCAGCAGCAGAGTAGGCGCTATTGGCATGAGACGCGTGTCGAGGCTTGTGAGAGGGTACCGCCTCCTCTTAGAGCTCGCCAGCTGGCTCCTGCTGCTGACAAGGAGCCGCAAGCGCCTCCTGCTCGCTCAGACGCTGCGGCAGCGCTAGCTGCTGAGCTCCATCCCAGAAAGACTGACATGCGGCTTTTTCTGCGCCGTCTGGGGGGGCGATACGTGACGGAGGTAGGCCAGGAGGAGGCGGCCTTAACGGCCGAACTGCAGCAGCTGCAGCATGAATTGAACCGCGTGCACTTACTCATGGGCAAGGGGGCCCCTCTTCAGCAGCAAAAGGATCCCCCGAAGTGCCTCTGCGGTATTCCTACACTGGAGGCGGCCGTCGCTGCTGCAGCAGCGGGAGCAGACGTTGCTGCTGTGCTGCAGCAGCACCAGCAGCTGCCGCTTCACGGCGATACCATAATGGCAGAGATGGCGACATTTCAAGACCTTGTTAGCGATGAGCACAAGGAAAAGAAGAAAGGCTTTCGAAACATTGCTGGTAATCTTGCGGCGCATGCAGGCATGCGCGTGTGGGGGCGGGTGGGTGCTTTGCGGGAGGTGTTGAGGTGTTTCATTAGTGCGCCTTGCCGAGGTAGCGATGGCTTGTCGTGTGCGTTCAAGTCCAAGCGCTTCCCGCTGCTTCGGCAGATGGGAAGGCAGGAACCTCACTGGTGGACGCCGCTGGGAAAGGCAAAGGGCGAGCTGACACTAACTGACTTTCCGTCTGCAGTGCTTGCGTTGCCTGCTGCACCTGCAGGCATGTGCAAACGCCACTTGGAAGGCCAAGCAAAGCGACGCGACCAGCGGCACGAAGAGGTTGAGCGGCTGCGGAGGCAGCAGGCAAAGGTTCTGAGCGGCGCTGTGTCTGCTTTTTGGGTTAAGGTGGAGCACGTTGTGTGGGAGGAGCAGAAGAGAACGCTGCAGTCTCAGCTGCAGCAGCAGAAGGAGAAGAATTTCGATCGCTTTGTTAAGAGGGCCTTAAAAGTCTCTAGGGCTATCGCCGGAGGCATACGAAGGGTATTGACGCTTGCACCTGTCCTCTAAGCCCCTTTTGCTGAGCTTTCTCCCACCCGCGGCTACCTCCGTATCTTCTTATTCATATTGACAGTAGTGTATACTTACACTTGAGAATAGGAAAGCAAGCGCCACATGCACAGAAACTCCCTTATTCTGCCTTGTCTGCGCATGCACACTTCGGCGGCCTTTGGCCTAGCTGTACATACACCTGCACGCAGCACCGTGCAGCCCCAGGGGCTGGGGTTGGCTCTGCAGATGTCTTCTTATACAAGGGCTGTACGAATGCATGCGGTTGCATGCTTTCTTTGCGTTGGCGCTCGTTGCGGTGCGCGTCTGCTGGTTCCCAGGATGTGAGGGGAGGCCTTGGTGTGCCTTCTGAGGATTCCGATAGCGGCGAAGCAACTCGGATGGAAGCGGCAGCTCAGCGGCAGCGCGAGCCGCGGCAGTCACCTCGCACTGGCAAGCAGTTTCCAAGAGCTGGCTCTGAGAAAAAGGGCACGCATGCGGCTGCACGAGCTGAAGCCGCAGTGGTGGCAGAAGATGACGATTTCGATGCTGCGGGGGAGCAGGTAGAACGCCAGGAAGCGGAAGACTTGGCACTTGATGCAGAAATGGAAGCAGAAACGTCGTCAGAGGGAGATGAAGAAGGCCAAGGAGGGCGCAGAGACGAGGCAGGTGACCTCGCGAAGGAGGCGGAGGAACCGCTGGAAGAGTTGTTGCAGTACGTTGATCCGCCATTTTTGCGGCTTACCCGTCGCGAGCTTCTCTTTCTGTCTTTCTGTGCGCATTCTCCTCGTTGCGCCGCCTCCTTTCGACTGGAATATGCCTGGTGGGATGTGCCTTTCCTCTTCTTCTGCCCTTGCGGTTCCAACACTGGGGTCTTTTTCCGTCCTTCCATGATTCTCGCCGGGTAAACCTGTGTTTTTCTCAGGCGCTATGGCTATTCAAGTGTCAAGGAGTTCCGAGAGAGGGGCGTGGAAGACACCAGCAAGGAGGCGGGTAGCGCCTCGCAGTCATCGGGAGAAGAAGAAGACGAAGAAGAAGAGACTGCAGACGTGCCAGAGGGCAGAGACAGATCCACAGGCAGCCATGAGGGATGCTCCGAAGCCAAGAGATCTCGTATGCCAGTCGAAAACCTCTCTAGGCCGCGTCGGGCTGCTAGCCGGCGCGTGTTGCAGCAATTCGCGGAGCAGCAGCAACAAGAGCAGCAGCGACAAGAGCAGCACGAGGAGGATGAAGAAGAAGCCACTGAGGATCAAGAGCGCCTTGAGGCCTTAATTGCGGAGAGAGACGAAGAGGATGCAAAGTTAGACGAAGAGATGGATTCGTGCGAGGATGATCAGTCGGAAACGGGGGCGGTAGACGATCTTCTGAACGAGGCGGAAGCCCCCCTCAGCGAAGTTTTGAAGTCCGCGTCTCCCGAAGCACTTTTGTGGATTCTCGTTTTTTCACGCCGCTGCTTTTTGTTTGCACTGTAGTATGGCTCGAGGGTTTGTCGTCACAGGGCACACCCCGCCACCGTGTGTAATTCCCCATGTGCGGTGCGAGAAGGGGCGTAAGAAGCGTGTGGCAGGCGTGGCGACCATTCTATCCGGAGTTTTTCACGGTTGTTGCTTGGGATGTTTGTGCGCTGTCGTCTTCTCAGTCATCGTACGCGCTGCTGGTTGTTGCGCAACCACTCCCTCATGTGTGCTCTCGGCTGCGCGTAATGGGCTTGGGTGTGGTGCAGGAGTTACGGCTATTCCTCGGTACAGGAGTTCTTAAGCCGTCGAGCAGAGGACGCCTCGAGGAGTAGCGAGTCGGATCCAGAAGACTTGCAACGAGCCGAGGGAGCCAACAAGGGCAATTTGGCAGCCGATAGCGAGAGCAAGCAGTTCCAAGATGCGAGCCAGCAGCAAAAGCGGGAAAGGCCAGGGGAGGGGGTTGCTGAACAGAGTCTACCCAAGAGACTTCGCTACCCCCGGCTGAAACGCGAGATGTCGACGACGCTCTCGCCAGAGATGCCCGAGGAGACACAGCGTGGGAAGGAGGATGCCCCCCAACAGCAGCAGCACAAGCAGCAGCAGCAGAAGCAGCAGCAGCATCAGCACAAGCAGCACAAGCAGCAGCAAAAGGAGTCAAAGGTCAAGTTGGAGGGGGGGGTGGCGGCAGCAGCTGCTGCTGTTGCCACCCCCTTGGAATCGCGCGAATCAGCCCCAGAGACGGCGAAATCGAAGACTCAGAAGAGTCGCTTTGTGCTCGCCGTGAAGCGTGAGCAGCAGCAGCAGCAGCAGCTGCAGGAGGAGGAGCAGCAGCAGCAGCAGCTGGGTTTCAAGCCGCTTCCGTTGACGAGGCTGCTTCGGGCGCGCCTTAGGGAGTATCAAGCGGAAGGGGTAGAGTGGCTTTACCGGCTGCACAGAGCAGGGGCGAACTGCATTCTTGCAGACGAGATGGGTTTGGGGAAGACGATCCAGACCATCGCGCTGCTGGCGAAACTGGCGCTAGAAATGGGTGTGTGGGGTCCCCACCTGGTTGTTGTTCCGACGAGCGTCCTTGAGAATTGGGAGACTGAGTTCAAGAAGTTTCTTCCAGGATTTCGAGTTGTGTTGTACTACGGATCTGCGGCCGAGCGGCAGAAGAAGCGGCAGGGGTGGACGCGGAAGCATGCGTTTAACGTCTGCATTGTCAGCTACGCCACTGCTGTGAAGGACGCCGCCATCTTGAAGCGAAGGGAGTGGTATTCCATGGTTCTCGATGAGGCGCAGAACATAAAGAATTTCAGTTCCAAGAGGTGGCAGACGCTGCTGACGTTCAATTCGCAGCACCGGCTCCTTCTTACGGGGACTCCCCTGCAGAACCATCTGCTTGAGCTGTGGTCGCTGATGCATTTCTTGATGCCTACGCTTTTTTCCTCCCACGAGAACTTCAAGGAGTGGTTCGACAGCCCGCTGACAGCCGCCATAGAGCAGTCGCGCGTGCAGAGGCACCAGAGACTGGTGGCAAAGTTGCACCAAGTCCTTCGGCCGTACATACTGCGGAGGCTCAAGAAGGATGTCGAGAAGCAGATGCCGAGCAAGTACGAGCACGTCATCAAGTGTGAATTGACGCGCAGGCAGCGCTGCCTCTATGATGAATTCTTAGGCTCCCGCGCGGTGCAGGGAACTCTGGATCAGCAGCAGTATAGGGGGATGATGAATGCCCTCATGCAGCTCCGCAAGGTTTGCAACCACCCCGATCTATTCGAAGCTCGGCCTACTAGGACGCCGGTAGGAGCCGACGGGCTTGGCATCTTGGAGGCAACCATCCCAGCATCCGTTTGCCTCTGGCTGCAGGAACCCTGGTGCCTTACCCCAGAAGCTGCAATTAAGTGAGCTGCGCGCAGCAACGAACGTGCTGCCTTACGAGACAGCGGTCCAGAAACGTGAGTAGAAAGAGTAGAACGCGTCGCTTCTCTTCCGAGGGCGTCTCGTTTGCGGCTGGCTAATGCTTGTGTTTTTGCGTGTAGGCGGCTAACAGGCCCCCTGACGTCGCTGTTGCTGAGAGAGGCACACGGCAGCAAGTGGGCGGAACTGGCGGCAGACGAGCTCGCATCCCCGATCCAATGCCTTCTAAGCTCTCCTCCTCCTCCGTTTCCCAAGTGCAGTGCTGGTGCCAGGGAGCCGAGAGCCGTTTGCACAGAGGGCCGCCTCCGAGACGCCTCGCTTGAAGCCTATCTTGCCGCCTTCGATCTTCCGGTGCTTGTTGACCCTTTCACCTTCTCCGTCAGAGACATTCCTCCCCCCACGTTCTCTCCGGCGCTGCCGTCGACTGCAGCCTCGAATCCCAGCCCGCCGCTGCAGACGGCAGGCCCCTCCTCCTGGCTGTCGCAGCAACACCTTGCGCAGCTCGAGGGGGGAGCTGCACGGCTGCACACTGCGCAGGAGGCGGAGTGCAGGGACGCTGCCGGCAGCCCGACTGCGCAGCCTTGTCTCGAAGGAGGGGAGCATGAAGTGCAGCAGCCGGTGGCACTTCTGAGCACTGCCGCATCGGGAGAAACAGCCGGCAGTGTCGCGTGGAGGGTTCCTGAGCAAGGCCTAGGCGACCAGCAGGCTCAGGCGGTGCGGAGCTCCAAGAGCCTCATCGACGGCAGCTGGTTTCTGGGGGTCGCCTTTGGCGCGGCGAGCATTCCTGACGTAGGCGGTGTGATGAGAGCCAAGCAGCGGGAGATGGAAGAGGCTCAGCAGCCGCTGGACGACGTGTTGCCGCTGCCTCTCAAGTTTTTGCACTATCAGGTGTCTCTCGAGCTCAACGGGGATGAAGATTTGCCACCGCAAAACGCCTCCGAAGGCGCCCCAGCGGGAAGCGACGGCTGGCGAGTGACGGCAGCCGAGGCTGCGTTCGACGGCTTGGGAAGCGCCCATGGGTGGGGGGGTGTTCCTGCGTCTTCTTCGCGAGCCGTGAGGAGCCGCTGGCAGTACTTGCTGCAGCGGTCGCATGAGCGGCTCACGGGTCTTCCCGTCGTTCCCAGGAGGCTTCCGGAAAATGACACTGCGAGTGCAGCCGCGCGCGCGGCTCGCCAGCGGCCGTGGTGTCAAAGGCAGCTCAGGGGTGAGTCGAAAACGGAAGGGGAGGCAGGCACGCAGGTGAAGCCTCGGATCCCCACAGTGCAGCGATCGGGAGTTCGGACGCGCAGCGCTGGGCGCTCGCGCGTGGGAGAAGCTGGCTGTGCTAGCCTAGGATTCGCCGAAGCGTGTGGCATGTGCTGCTGCGTTGTGTTGGCTGCCTCAGAAGCAGCTGCTGCCCGCGAAGACGGGCAGTCCAGGCGATTCCGCTTTCTGTGTTACCTGCACTTCCTCCATCGGCTCGCTCCTTCGCCCCATCTAGGATCTGACGGCCGCCGCTATCTTCGCAGACTGGTTCGCCAGGGTGCAACGTATCCCCCCTTTTATGTATACGACCAGGCGAGTCTCCGTTTATCCCATTCGGGCACTTTCGGCTTCTGCACGCGGCAGGGGCAGGCCGTCCTGTCAAGCTCTGAGGGCAGAGGCAGCAGCGTAGACTGGCCTCCCTGCAGAAGTGCTCGCTTGCGTGGTGGCGGAGTGCGATACTGGATTCTCATGGGGGCGCGTATGTACATAGATAGATATATATATGTATACTTCGTGCACATGCAGTACGCTTGCGTGATGGCGGCTTGTGGGGGTATGTCAGGGTTTTTGCAGAGTGTGCGTCAGTCAGCAGGTTCTGGTGCATGGCTACACAGCGCTTTGCACCTTCGTGTTTGCATCGTTTCAGTCCCTGAAAGGGGTCATGGGTTCGCGTGATGCTGCTGGAAGCGCGTCTGTGTGCAAAATGCGTGGCAGCAGCACCGCTTGGCATGTATTGTTGTGCTGCCCTTGCTGCACTTGGATTTCCTTTGGGCTGAGCGGTTCTGCAACAGTCCTTGGAATCTTGGAGAATAGGGCCTTTCGAATAGCGCCCTGAGTCCGGATTTGTTTGTCTTGCGTTTCTTTTTTCCAGATACGCTCAAGCGACGACTTCTTTCGCCAGACATCGTATAGCTCAAGCCTCTTCCCAACGCCGTCTCAGGTCTGCGAGCATCTGAGGCCGCTGCTCAGCCTTTTTACGTGCGTGTGCTGGCCTCGCATTCACACCCAACCACCGCGCGTATAGTAAGTTTGCCTTTTGCCCGTCTGCTGCTGCGCTGTGTGGAAGAGAAGGGGCAGTCCACACCGTAGTCTGCTTTCGTAGAATAGGAATATGCAGGCCTGCCATCGTAGTGCCGCCTTTTTTAAAGGAGACCCCTCTTTGCCCTCTTAATACTTCTTGTGTATTGGGGCCCACGCGAGGCGTCGAGTCGAAAGTTTATTACGTGCGTCGCATGGGTGCGCAGTTTGCGAGGCCAGGGAGGCCCCACTGCGCGTTTCTCCTCACTCAGCGCCCTCGAGGGGGCAGCGCTGACGTTGCTAGAGGGGTATCGGCTCAGAGAGCCTGTACTTCGTCGGGAACACCCACCTACTTACGGGTTGCGTTGGGGTTCCCCCCAGGGTGCGGGAGAGGCCTCTGGATCAGCCGCGTCGGACTTTCGTGTGGCTTACGCAACACAGCTGCAGAAGGGGGCTGCAGATGACGACAGAGGAATAGTACTGGGACGTCATATAATGCATGTGCCAGCTTGCTACTGCGTTGCGGGAACTCGTCCTGCACTATGCCCTGAAAACGACTATTACAATGACCTCTTGTCTGGCGCTTCAAGGCCCCAATGCATCGTCGTCTCCCAGCATGCGGAAACGAACTCCGCTGTTCGAGAGACGCTTGCACGCATGGAGTGCCTCTTCCCTCCGAAGCAGCTTATACAGGACGATTGTGGGAAGCTCATTGCCATGGTAAGCAAGGCCACGAGGAGAGTCATCAGACTACCCGACAGCAAACCGGGCTGCCTCAGAACGTTGTCAGGAGGCCCCCTTAGCAACCCTTGTGGAGTAGCAGACAGTTGGGGAGAGGAGGTGACAAGGTGCCGCATGCGTGGCTCGCTGTGTTTGCGGTTCGCACCACAGGCAGAGCTGCTTCACAAGCTTCGTGCTGGAGGCCATCGCTGCATCATATTTACACAGTTCAGTCGGATGCTGGATGTTCTCGAGTCATGGATCAACTACCAGGGCTTCGTTTATCTGCGGCTAGATGGCTCCACTAAGGTGCGAAGTAGTGGCGCAACAACACTGCACCGTACGGGCAAAGCGAGGCAGGGTGCTGGGGGAAGAGCGCGGCACCACTGGCCTGGTGATACAGAGGGGAATATGTGCACCTTCGATTTCCCTTGTGAATCATCCGCACGCAGGTAGACTTCTGCTTTTTGATTGCCTTTGCAGGTGGAAAACCGCCAGCGCATTGTCAATCAGTTCAACACAAATCCTCGCATCTTCCTCTTTATCGCCTCTACTCGTGCTGGGGGTGTTGGAATCAACCTCACTGGTGCAGATACCGTTATATTTTACGACACAGACTGGAACCCTGCCATGGACAGACAAGCGATGGACCGGTAGGATGCGGTGGGGCTACAGTTCAACAGTTAGGATTCTTTCAAATAGCGTGACAAGGGGATACGCAGGTTTAGCCAATCACCCCAAAATCCAACCTTTTCAGTGGGCATCACTCCTCGCGGTAGTATAGGGTGGACACCCAAACATCAGGGTTTGCAGAACACCCACAAAGAGGCAATTCTGCGCCCAGTAGCGGTGGCACTCTTTCAATTAAACATCACTCTTCACCATGCGATCTTCAGGTGCCACCGAATCGGTCAAACACGAGATGTCCATATTTACCGATTGGTGTGCGCACACACGATCGAAGAAAATATCTGGCGCAAGCAACTTCAGAAACGACTCCTCGACGAAATCGTTGTTGACCAGGGATCATTCACAATAACTAACGCTGCAAAGAAATTGGGCAGGCTGGAAGTTGATGACCAGAAAGGCTCAGATCTTCATGGAGCGGAGTGGTTTTCTAACGCAAATACACTGAAGGAACTTCTGACAGTGAGTTCTACGGCTTGTATTCACTTATAACATGGAGGAGTATGGGGGCAGGCTTAGAGATTGCGCGTAACAACGATTTCAGAAATGTTAGTGGTCCGCGAAGTGCTGGGAAAAGTCATTTGGCCATCGCGTGTATCGTGTTGCCTCTTTCCATTTACATGTTAAATGTTTGATCAGATCAAACAGGAGCAAACGGAGGATCTGTACGTTGATCGCGTACTTCACGAGTCTACTGCAGACACAGGGAATGCGCCACTAGCACCTACCCGGGACAGGAACTCGGCATTTGAATCGGCCATGGACGAACTGGAAGACGTCGAGGACAGAGCTGCCCTTAGGCAAACAGCTAAGGAGCAGAAAACAGTGCAGCAGGAAATGAGTGATGTGCGTTCATAGCATTCGTACGATTCCCTTAGACCCCTTCGGCCACTAGCTTGCAAGTACAAAAGTACTCGCCTAAACTGCATGTTATTCCGTCTACTTACATTGGAGCTTGGGTTCTAGTGCCAATAGATGATCGATACTCATGGTTGGATTATCATTATTCAGGACTTCCGCGATGAGAACCCAGATGCTGTGGACGACGTTTCTTCTGCTCTAAATGAACTACCAGCCCTGGCTACGTACTGCGTCAAGTTCTTGAGCGACAACAAAAGCGACGCGCTCATTGCGCAAATAGAACGTTTCAAGGTAACCATGCAATATCTGCATATCGCAACACATCCAACGATTTGGTTTCTTCAGCGTGACACGAGTTGGAGAAAAAAGCAGCAACGCTTGCGGTGAACTGGCACTTTAAACGCATTCATAAGTAAAATCCGTTTCGCGTTAATGCTTTGTTACGATGCTTGCAGGCACAGCTCGAAGGCGAAGGGGCAGAAGTTGGGGAAGGAGAACCAGGGGCAGCAACGGAGAGTGCCTCAGCTGCAGATGGTAGCGAAGATAACTCTGGAAGTGAGATGTCTGCAGCGTGGGAAAGCGAGTTAGAGGAGCAAGATGGTGGCGAGTCCGCTGAATCCAAGTGAAAGCTATGAGGTCCATGCTTTGTGGAAAGGGAAACCTTGGAAGAGGGATCACGGATACAAGCAGCATTGTGAGTGCCAAGCCCTTTGAATGACTGCCGCGGCATATGGGCACTAGGAGTAGCCTGCTTTGGGGCCGGCAATCGGAGCCATCGCATGTGGATATCCTAGCGTGGTTCCACAGTATATCGGCCTCATGTGTTGTCTAAATCCGTCACCACTCGGAGGCGAACTCGAGTGCGAAGCATTTGGTCGTTGCTCGCGGATTCCAAGTTGGTCAAAATGTGGGCTTACCTTCACCATCTTGTTTTTGTAGTGCTACCGGTGATCCCGGGATGCCTCAGCAAACTTGAAAATTTGAAATTTGTTTCGTGGTCTTTCTCCGTACTTCGTGGTGGCTGCCTGCCATAATTACACTTTCGCCGCCTCACCAGTGGCACCAGTACCGCTAGTTAGTGGCAGGCAGGTCTTCGTGCATCTTGTCGATATGCGTGGATTGCGATCTATTTATCAGACCTAATACTCTGTAGTAACACCACGCAGATATAATTGAAGGATGCAAGTGTGCGTCTTTTTTTACGGCAGCGACTACGCTAGTCCATACATATGATTACATTCAAGCTTCACCAGCCCCATTCGCTGTTTGGAAAATGCTGTGACCAGTGGCCGCAGAAGATACACAGGTAGATGTGTGAATCGTTTTCGGATACCAACGTGTCAGTGTGTCCCCAGCAAGTAATGACCACCAACAGACTGCTAAGGCGAATTGCCCCCGGAATTGCAGCTACAGTTTCTACACACATTGACTCCGAGAACCTACAAACCCAAGGGTCCTAAAACAAGGAAGTTTTGCTGGCATATTCCCTAGTCAAGTTCGGGTTCCTCTTAAACCTAAGCCATTCACTTAGCACATTCATCACTGAACAGCGCAACTCGACATTTTTAATCTACTTCCTGATGAAAGCGTAAAATCCTGACACATGTGCATGAGTTTTGGCTAATCCATTGTTGCTCTGGAGTGCTCCTCTGTGGCTCGTTTTTCGCCGTCCTTCTCACGGAAAGCCCGATAACCACCCTGCTGAGGAGTCTTTGTCTTGCGATGCATACGGGAGCCTGGGTTCGGAGACAAGGAACGTGCTCGTGCTCCGAATCCCCCGTTTCCCAACGCTCTGAGCCTGCGACTTGCTCTATGGTGGTGGCGCTCTAATGGAGGGGAAACAGAGAGAGATCGCGTTCTTGACGATGACTGGGATGAAGGTCTGCCAGCAGCGGGTGACGGAGGCGCAAGCAAATGTGACCCTTGAAGTGGCCAATTTCGCTCTGCTACGCACGTGCGTCCCCTTGACGACGGTTTGTCACTCCAATACAATGGCTCTTCTCCTTCAATCGCCCGCGCAAACGAAGGGAAGCCCGGGCCCTGCTTAGCGGTCATGCTCACAGGTTCCTTAGTAGAAGGCGGTCCGGGGCACCAAATGCATGATGCGCTTGGCGAAGGAGGACAAGACGCTTTTTTCACTGAGCACGTATACATCACTTGTTGAGGCGGAAGGCAACTTAAGAATCTAGATGTGCGTCTTGTACGTCTTCTTGTTCTTGAGATGAAGACTTCAGCTGCCACAGTGCTGAGCTGCCAAGGAAACCTATCGGTTCATAATGGTTCCAGGAGGAGCCCTCCCAAAGTACATGGGCTTCCTCGTGGACGAATATGACGAAAGACAACACCAATCCCGGTGTATGCCTCTTACCGCATCATCAAGGAATCCGCGGACTCACCCCGCGAGTCTTCTTCCGTCCATATCAAGTACTAAGGCGGACAAGGAACCTTTTATGAGGAAAAAGAGCAAGGCGATCCGCTTGACAGGTTGCTGTAAGGGTATTGCTCAATGATCAGCCTTATGATGCGGGACTTGGGCCCTTGATACATAAGTCAAGGCATTGATGCTGTACTCGTAATTGGAAAAGGCCTATCTGCGGGCTTGTGGGATAGCAATACCTTGGAAGAAGCCGTTACGGTGCTTGAGTAGCGATGTTGTTCATCCAGTCGACATGCACAGGAATACAGGTGGCTAGCTCAAGCCATGCATTCTTAGGTAACAGAAAGAAAACAAAAAGTGAAGAATATATACTTTTAGCCTGGCTTCCGCCCAGTTGTGTCTGTAGCCTTTATCACACACCTCGGGCCTACAGTTGGGTCCGTGCTGCAGACCACCGGGGAACGCAAAGCCGGGCACCAAAAATATGATCACGGCCAGAATACAAAAATTCTCTTTAGACTAGTCATCGTAACAATTTGATGCGTCAGAGCTTTGTATGATCTCCCACAGTGCGCGGCATGTAAAAGCTTCGCCGAGAACGCAGACCAAGACGCTGGCGCCAAAGTGCACGTGAACCTGTCATACCCGTGATATGACACAACAAAATGAGACCACGTGGTTATTTCAATGTTAAATCAAGGATTGTTGCGTTACTGGCACTGTGGTGCCATTTGGAGAGAATATGATCAGCGATCTGCATTGGAAGCAACAAGATCTTGCGGTGTCGTAATCTTTGTGCCCAACTGGTGATACTTTTGGAATATGGGTGCAAAAGCAATCGAATTTCTGCATCAACTATGATGAAGTTAGCCGAGTGTCTATGGTGATTTATCAGGAACTCTTTAGCCAGGCTTTGTAGTTCTGGTGGCAGATCGCTCACCTAATCGTATCGCTTGTGCCGTGCATGCCAGCTTGAATTATGCTTTCAGAGTTCAATCCGTCTTTTCTGCTAGTTGCCTCTCTAGGGTGCTGCTGCCAAGCATTCTTCATTCCCTTCCCCCCTCTGCTGTGTTCCTTCTCTTGCCCTTTACTCTTTTCACTCGAGCTTCTTACCTTACCCTCTCTCTTTATCTCTTTTCCTACTTATCCCTGTGTCCGTTCACTTTATGCTTAAATACCCCAGCTAAAGGTGTCTGGATCGCCCCGTGCATACTGACGTGCAAGTTTCCAACAACATTCTATGTCCCGTAACTCCTCGAATTCGCTTCGAACGAAAAAAATGTTTTCCTAATGCCCCAGTTGAATTTCACCCCGTTGCATTCAGTGTCCCGTAGCCATTGTGTTTGCTTAGTTTGCTCCTAATGTTTCCAAGAGGAGAGACATCAAACAATCGTTAAAAAAGCGACCACTTTCGCCACGCCAGCTGTGCAATCCATCCACGGTCTCTGTACAGGGACGCTTGCTCAACTCAATACACTTTATGGAACTCTTCTGCGTATTCTTTCAAAAATTCAATTTTTCCTTCACTGGTGCCCTAGAGTAACCAACATGAGGGGAGACGAATTATTCGAACGTGCATTGGTGCCCCATCTTTAGCAATCCTGCAATGCTTTATGTACGGCCCCTGTGGGATGTAGAAAAATTCAGGCTAAATTCGAACTTTATACAGTTCTTCAATGCTTGTCAAAAAATCTCCCTCCCTCCTCATCCTGCGTTTCTCAGAGTCCCCGACGTGAGGAAAGAACGGCAACTAGGGTGTCGGGGTCCATCTGAAGACCTTTGTAGGGATACAGTTTAGTATACACTCAGCCAACAAATGCGCATGTATTGAGGTTCCATACAGGTCTCATGCCTTCCCCTGCTCAAGTTCGTCAAAATTTCCGATGCGAAGGGAGGCAGAACACCAGAATAGGCATTGCTGCACCCTCTATGCGCTCCGAATATTCGCATCTAGTTTCAGAGAGCATCTAACACACACACACACACACACACAATTTGCGTCTTCCTCTAGCTAGCTGATAATCGTCTTCATTACGTAACCCACAAGAACAGAAAAAGTGAAATAGCGTCGTGAAGGGACAGAAGAGATA